CACTATCCAGGGGGAAAGCCCAAAGTTTCCCTTTCGAGACCAGGTGCCCCGAAACGCGGGGAACGGCGCGAACCCGCGCGCCGCAGACCAGGGAGGCACCCCGCAAGCGGCGGAGGCAACACCGCGCCCCCGGCGGCTTGGGGGGCCGGGAGGCCGGGGCCGTCCTGCCCTCCGCCATCCGCAAGGGGGCTCGGGTCCGAAGCCGGTGGGGAAGGCACCCCTTCCGCGCCCCCCAGGGCGTCCCACCCCCAAAGGCGGTGTCTTCCCGCAGCGTCCCTGGGCTCGGGAATGGAAGCGCGCACCGCCCTGGCAAGGCCCCGCACCGCAGCGGTCTCCCGGGTCCCCAGAAGGCGCGCAGCTGCCAGCTGGGGTGCAGAGGGGCGTGCGGGGACCCAGGGGCCGGAGGAGGAGGAGGCGCAGGCTCTTGAGGCTCCTGGAGGCCACTTTCAGCGTCTACGGCCATACCACCCTGAACGCGCCCGATCTCGTCTGATCTCGGAAGCTAAGCAGGGTCGGGCCTGGTTAGTACTTGGATGGGAGACCGCCTGGGAATACCGGGTGCTGTAGGCTTTTCTTTGCCTCTAGTTTTTCAACTACAGCTTATACTTACTCTCTTTCTTCCACAAAAGTAGAGTATGGTCATCCCTTGGTATGTGTGGGGATTTTTTCCAGGATCCCACGTGGGTACCAAAATGCTCAGTGCTTATATAAAATGGCATAGTGTTTCCATATAACCTGTGCACATCCTCCAGTATACTTTAAATCATCTCGAGATTACTCATAATCCCAGTAGGGGGCATGCAGGAGGCAGCCTATCTATGTTTCACTCTCTCCTCCTCTAAAAAAGTCAATTAAAAAGCAAAACAGAGCTATGAATATGGGCTACATTGTTTTGCCTACTCATGTTTAGGGACATTATGTGAAATAGTCTAAAAGCCTAAAGAAACTAATTTTGCTATAATGAAGTTGTAGACTTTATCATCCAATATCCTATTTAGAGGAATCTATAGTAGATACTTCTCTTTGGTCTCAGTGCTAGGAATACTTGGGCTTCTGTTCAATCGGTCTGATTTTTTTATATGAGCTGTGTGAATCCTTGTGTTTACTTTTGCAATGCAAAGCTAAATTTTGGGCCAAACTGTAGCAAGGTAAAATACTTCATATCATACATTTTGTGTCCTAAACTGACTTTTTTTTACCTTCATTTCCCCCTGCCCAAATTTTTAAAAACCTGTCACTTTCCAAAACAAGAAGCTGCCATTTATTATGCTAGGTACTGTACTAACCTTTTAATATGCATTGTTTTATGTTTTTAAAAATTAAGTATTACACATGGCTTAAAAAGTTAAGTAGCGCTGTGGGATTTTACACAAGCTGTTCTGGTATTACACATTTCTAAAAATGATTATCTCTAATTTATGAATGTTGGGCCTTGCCAATTGATTTTTTGTTATGGTACATAAGAATTTTAGCTTTCTGCTCTGGCCTGGTAATTCAGTTGGTTAGAGCATCGTCCCAATATGCAAAGGATATGGGCACATACAAGAATCAACCAAAGAATGCATAAATAAGTGGAACAACAAATAAATTTTACTTTCTAAAATAAATAATTAAAAAGAATTTTAGCTTTCTTATAACTCACCCCTCCCCACTTCCCTCCTGCTTTCTCTCACTGTTAATTACAATTTGGGGTTAAACCATATTTACTATTTTCATTGTATTTATCGTAATTATTCACTGCTGTACCACATTATGTACTAAGATGCTATTTCCTATCTGGTACAATTTTTGTTTTTCTTGGATTTAGTAATTGCTTCACTTTTCATTTGCTTTGGGTTTTGTTTGTTTGTTTTTAAACCCCTGACTTAACTTTCCACACCCTCCAGCAAGCCTGTTAAATGCCTCTGCTTGTAATTTTCTACATTGCTATACTGTCAGATACTGCCCCTCCCCCCCCCAAAAAAAACTTTCTGGAGCTCCTACTTTAATGGGTGCCAGTGGCTTCATAGCTCTCCATGTGCAGTACAGCTGTCATCCTGGGATTTCCATTTGCCATTATTCTGTGAATTCCCTACCCCTCTTTCTTGGTTTGGGTACCCTGTTTCTGAAGCCCATGTTATTTGCCTGTCTTGAAAAAGAGCAACAAAGCTGGAACACACTAATTTCAAAACTTACAACTTTACAATAATCACAACTGTGTGGTACTGGCATAAAGGCAGACATACAGACCAACGGAATAGAATATAGAGCCCAAAGAGCTGGTGCATATACTTTGGTCAAATGATTTTTTAAAAATTTATTTTATTGCCTGGCAGGGTGTGGCTCAGCGGTTGAGCATCGACCTACATATGATCCAGGATATCGAGGTTGGATTCCCCATCAGGGCACATGCCCGGGGTGTGGGCTGGATCGCCAGCAGGGGGCATGCAGGAGGCAGCTGATCAGTGATTCTCATCATTGATGTTTCTAATCTCTCTCCCTCTCCCTTCCTCTCTCTGAAATCAATAAAGAAATTAAAAAATATATATTTTATTGTTGAGAGTATTATAGATGCTCCCCATTTTCCCCCTTTGCCATCCTCCACCCCTCTCCCACCCCACCCAGGCCTTCCCCTGTCTATTGTCTGTATCCATGGGCTATGCATATGTGCTTATAAGTTCTTTGGTTAATCTCTTCCTACCCTGTTTTTGACAAGAGAGCCAAGACTATGCAATAGAGGAAGGAAGGGCAGTCTTTTCAACAATGGTGTTAGGGAAACTGGATATCCAAATACAAAAGAATAAAGTTGGACCCTTATCTAATACCGTATACAAAAATTAAATCAAAGACTTACATGGACTAATTTTTTTTCATTGTCCAGTGGGTGAGGGACTGTGAGGAAGCCCAGATTTGTTATAGGCAGTTTCAGAAGTACATTAAACTGTACAGCTAAGTTGCAATTTATGACTATTAGAATTTTTCTTTGCTTACTTGTTTATGATATTTCCACTTTATAAAAGAAGGCACTTTGTTCTCCACTGCACTCCCAGTGCCAGAAGAGCACCTGACACAGAAGACATGGAAGAAACTTTTGTTGAATGAATATCTCCTCTAAAGAGTTTTCTTAGGGCAGCTTAATGTCTGTTCAGTTTGCAGCTCTCATATAAGAATAGGCCTTTTCAAGTCTTGTAATACCCTATTAGCAGGAGGAGAAGAAAGCGTGATAGAAAACAAACTAAAACCGAGTCCAAGGAAACCCAAAGGCCCTTCGCCAACTCAGCGCCGAGGTTGGCAGCAAGGCCTCTCCGCCCTGGACTCGCAGTGCTCCTGGGCTCGCGATAGTACAGGGTCTCGCGAGACTGCTCCTCCATCCCTTATTGGCTGAGGCTGGGGGTGTGGTGCGTAGTGCCCACCGATCACGGGCCCGTGTGCGGGCCGGTGCCTGGGTCCGCCAGAGAATCAGGAGTGTTTCGGGCAGGTTCTCAGGCGGGTAGGGGCTGCCGGAGCCGGCGCCGAGCCGTAGCCCGAAGCGGGGAAGCGAGAGGAAAGCCCCGGGCCCGCAGCGCTGTCGTGCTCGTCCCTCGCTATGTGGGCCACCGCGAGGCTAGCCCTGTGGCGGGGCGTCCGCGCTGCCGCCCCCCGGCCGCGCGCCTATCACGGGGAGGCGGTGGCCACGCTGGGCACCCAGCCGGACTCGGGCTCTGCCATCTACCAGGTAGGCTGGGTGAGCGGCGCGGGCCAGGAGCCCCGGGGAGTCTGAGATTTCCTCCGCCCCACGTCCGCTAGCGCCAGGCCTCCGGGGCCCGGGACTGGCCGGAGTAGGAGGCAGGTGGACACACTTTACCAGCTTCTATTCTTTTCTTTGGAGCCTCAGTCATGATTCTGGGACGCACTAAGGGCTCATGAAGATTGGAAAGAAAAAAAAATCCAAATCAAATACATTTTAGTTTACTTTTAGCATTGGCACTATTTTTTGTGTCTTTGAAATAAGTGGTTCTCAAAACCTGGCTTAGCATTGTCAGCTGGGGAGCTCGTTGGATAGGGAGCTGCCTTAAGCCCCGCCCCGGACCTTTTGGCTCTGGTGTTTACATGCGTAATGAAGTCCTGGGGGCTTAGTGCCTTCCAGTTCTGGGAACCACTGGCCTAGGACAGCTAGCCTTGGAAGTTGTGCTTATCAAACTTTAGTTAAATAGAAAATACTTATCCTACAGCACCTTTGAATGGCTTTTCTTGGAACTGGGAGCTATTTACAAGGTCAAACAAACAACTTGCAGCTTCTGAAAGCTCAGAGCTGGAAATTTCAGTCTGTCCCATGTTATCTCTCTCTCAAAAAAAGAAATAACTTTAAAAAAAAAAAATGATTTGAGAGAGATAGAGGAATGCAGAGAGAGCATGAGAAACATTGATTTGTTGCTCCATGTATTTATGCATTCATTGGTTGCTTCTTGTATGTGCCCTCACCGGAGATTGAACCTGCAGCCTTGCATATTGGGACAACACTCTAACCAACTGAGCTACCCGGCCAGGCTCGAAATACTAACTCCTGATGCTTTTCCTCTTCTGCCCAAGGTCATCTCATAATCTGTATTAGTCAGCTCTTGTTTCAGTAATGCTGTGTAGCAAACAATCCCAAGATCTCAGTGTCCAAAATAACAAGTATTTATTTATTTCCTTTTTTTTTGAATTTATTGGGGTGACACTGGTTAACAAAATTATACTGGTTTCAGGTGCACAGTTCCACAGCATCATCTGTACACTGTATTGTGTGTTCACTACTCCATGTCAAGTCTCCATCCATCACCATTTATCCCCCCTATACCTCTCTCCAACCCCCAGCACCCACAATCAACACATGTTCGTGTCCATGAGTTTTCTCTTTTTTTTTTTCTTTTTTGCTCAATCCTTCCACCCACAAGTACTTATTTTTTACTTTCAGATCTGTGGGTTGGTTGTAGCAGTTCTGGTCTGAGCAGTGCATCAGATTCAGATCTGTTCTACTTTCTTTTTATTGATTGATTTGAGAGAGAGAGAGAAACATTGATTTGTTGTTCCACTTACTTATGCATTCATTCATTGTTACTTGTATGTGCCCTGACCAGGGATCGAACCTGAAACCTTAGTATATCGAGAGGACTCTAACTGACTGAGCTACCCAGCCAGGGCTTGTTCTCCTTGTTTCCTATCCAGGATCCAGACCGAAGGGGCAGTGGCTCTGGGGGACAACTCCTCTCATAGTGGAAGGCCGGGGCGGAAGAGGAGAGTGTGGAAACACTTTGTCACTCTTAAAGCCTCTGCTTGCAGTTGGTACACTGTCACATTTGCCCACATTCCCCTGAACAAAGCAAGTAATATATACAGAATAATGGACCGTGGGGTGGGGAAGTATAATCTCACAGTGAACCTCGGCAAGGATAGGAGGGGACGAAGAGTTTTGAACAAGTAATACAGTTTACCTCATAGTCTAAGATGGTTGCTTAGGCTCCAACCATCATGTCTGAGTTCCAAATAAACACTCTCATCTGCTTGTCCTCTTTTTAAGGAGTCTTTCTAGAAGTTATACGTTCTGCCTGTATTTCATTGGTTAGAATTTAGTCACACAGCCACATGTCTACCTAAGAAGGTCAGGATATGTTACATTTCCAGCTGGTCTTGTTTCCACCTTGAGTAAGATTGGGATTTCATCAAGGAAGATGAGAAGAATGGACATGGATAAGCAGCTAATACTGCCTGCCACAGATAACAAATAGCGTGGAGAGAGTGGGTGTGTTCTTCTCAAGTTATGTTGGATGTTAAAAGATTTCACTTAGGTGCAGCCATATCTCCTGGGACCTCCCGCTACAAGTAGTAAACTTTGATGCAAAAAACCCATCAAAGGGGAACAAAGGTAAAGCCATGCCTTGGATGGGAGATGGCACACAGGGTCGTGATCACAATCTAGTTTCTCCCTGCCTACTTTTCCTAGTCGCTCATGTTAGACCAGTAATATGTACTGCCCACTTTCACTTCTCCTACCACTGTGTGCTTCAGAAAAGCTTGGTAGTGACAGTTCTCTTTATTTTTTTAATGGGAGGCTAGCTTAGCTAGGGTAAAGATCACTTGCATAACCAGCTTTGGCTTTTATTGCTGCCTTCCAAATTGGACGTTATTGACTGCAGTGATTGTACCCTGAGGTTTGGGTATGATTTAAATAGAGGGTTACTTATTTTCTCTGTATGTATGTGAACCGTATTTCATCAGCTCTGAACCCGTGGTTTGCAAACTTGGCAGGAGACCAGCAGGTAGGATGCGGGAGGGGAGTGGAGGTAGGGGGGAAAGAATAAAAAACTAAAGGTACACTGGAATCCCATAAGCCTCTAGTAGATCTACAAGGGAAGAACTTGCTAAAAGACACTGTGGGGATGCATTTAGCACTGTGGGAAAAATCTTTGAGGCGAACAAAACATTTCAAGACAAAAAAGATTGTAGAACTTGCATTTTAGAAAAGACTTAAGAAACATATCAGCCAATTGTGGGTATGTAGGAGCCTATTTAAATAAACAAACTGTAAAAAACAAATATATCTGACAGTTGGGAAAATGTCTTTACTAATTGGATATTTGGGGATATTAACAAATTATTGACAATATCCCCAAATATCCATAGTGGTCCTCATCTTTTAGAGATTTGGGAATACTTATAGATCAAGTGTTATGTCTAGGATTTTCTTCAAAATAATTCAAGGGCCATAAATGAAACAACTTTGGCCATATATGGATAATTGTTGAAGTGCATTGGGTACATTTCATTAGACTAGTCTTTTGCTTTTGTATATGTTTGATAATTTCCATGAAGGAAAGTTAACAATAATGAGAACAAACCACACTAAATGATTGCTGAACATGTTGGTGAAACCCCTCCTCTCTTTAATTTGCTATCATGCAACTTGTCTATTCCTTCCTTTTCCAGTGCTGTTGAGTGTGTCGTAATGACTGGATGGACTCGCTCGGGAATGAGCCCCAAATGATGTCACTGAAAAACCATTTTTTCACTTTTAAACACACAAAGTAGGATTGCTCCATGACCTCAGGAACTCTCAGATCTGTAGAAAATAGGAAATAATGGAACTATATCATAAAGACTGTGAATTCATCTAATTTTGAATAGCTGGAAAGCTGCTTAGCATTGTGTCATGTAAAGGAAATTAAATCACCAGTTATGTTAATAACATGAAGAACAAAATGTGTTAGTGGGTAAAGCTCTGAATTTTCAAAAATAATTAGCTAAGTATTATTTTAAAGCAATGTGCTGCTCAAACAAAACTTACAAAATAAAAGTGAAAGTTCCTCTGCACTTTTTCCACTTCTCAGTATTTATATATTTTTGTATATTACTCTAGAAAATTTCTAAACATATGCAAATATAGAGTTTTATTCCTTCTTAAACATAAAATAGGATCCACCTTTCCAAATCCTAGGCTTTCTTTTTAAGTGTAATTTGTCAGTAAGCAAATATTTTTGCATTGGTTAGAATCTCCTCAAAAAAGTTATAAGTGGGATAGAAAAAATAAGATGTCATTCTAACCCTTAAAAATGAAGGACTATGTGGCTTATATTCCTTAAAATAAAAAATAAAATAGAGATCAGTTAAACTCAGTAGATGTTTAAGATGTTAAAATGAGTAAGAGTGGCCAGAAATGGTGTTGGAGATGAGATGGGACATGCATTAGGCTTTAAAAGAGGGTGCTGTTTGGATAGATGGACCAGAGGGGGGTGGTGGTAGTGAAGAGCTTGAACAAAGCTACAGGCAGGAATTAATCATTTGATACAACAGAATGGCCTAGCAGGGACATCACATGGATAGGGTGGCCCAGTGTGGAGGCCATATGGAGTTGGCACATGATGTTCTTCTTAACTCTTATTTTGGTAAAAAAGATAATTGCTTTTTAATCTTACTCTTTCTTTGTTTCTGTTTTAGGAAAACTATGAACAGATGAAAGCACTAGTAAATGAACTCCATGGACGAGCACAGAAAATAAGATTAGGTAAACACTTTTTAAAAATATGTTTTTACTGATTTTAGAGAGAGAGGAAGGAGAGGAGGAGAGAGAAATGTCAATGTGAGAAAGAACCATCAATCGGCTGCCTCCCGCATGCACCTTGACCAGAGATCGAACCCACGACCTCGGCATGTGCCCCAACCAGGAATTGAACTGGGGACCCTCTGCTTCATTGGACAATGCTCAACCACCTGAGCCACACTGACCGGGGTGTAAACACTTATTTATTCTTCAGTTTATGCTGTTGTTAACCTAAAAATAAAAGGCCAAGTAAGAGGCAACAAGTATTTATTTGAGATCCAAAAGAATAGCTATTGTGGAAGCACTGATTCAGGCCGAAACCCAAATAGTGTTCCAATTAGGAGGTGAAGACAAAGGTATTTATGAGAAAGTTAAGGGGAATACTTGCATCAATAGAAAATGAAGGAATTTTTATGGGTGTTAATAAGCTAAGGAAGGAAATTCTATAGATGAGCTAACATAGTGGTGATAAGTCTAAAGAATGTCTTTAATTTTCGGTCCAGTAGTTGTTCTGCTTTCCTGATAGCTTTGCCAATAGTTGTTTAGAATACAATGCTGCTTTAGGCCCAGTCCAAAGGCAATTTTCCTCAGTGTTGACTTTCCAAAGGTCTGAGGAGTAAGACCTGCAAGGCAGCTTGAAGTGGTAGCCATTTATATTATTGTGAAGTGGCTCCATTTATATTATTTTTTACACTTTTAATTAAGATGCCCCTTTATAGTTATCATTTTTTAGGGAAAACTAGTAGTGTTAAGCTTTTGACTCTTCAAGACTATGTGCTTGTTTGTATTCAGAAATTTTATTTTTTCCTATTGGCCAGTTTTTCTGCTCATATAGCACTTCCACTATTTGGGGAAAGTAGAAATTTAAATTCATCAATTGTTCAACTATTGCTTCTTCAGATTTTGTTGCAGCCACAGCATCACACTCGGCACGCTGGACTGATGGCTATGGTGTGATTGCCCCCTGGTGACAGTGATAGAAAGATGCTGTAAACTGTAAAATGCTTCTTGCCCTGGCCCGTGTGGTTCAGTTGGTGGGAGCGTCCTCCTGTGCACTGAAAGGTCACAGGTTCAGTTCTGGGGTCAGGGCACATACCCAGGTTGCAGGTTTAATCCCCAGACGGGGTGCTTACGGTAGACAACCAATCGATGTTTCTCTCTTCAATCGATGTTTCTCTCTCTCTCCCTCTTCCTTCTTCTCTCTAAAATCAATGAAAAAAACCCCAAAAAACATATCCTCAGGTGAGGATTTAAAAATAAATAAACAGATAAACTGTAAAATGCTTCCTGATTTCAGGGATCTTAAAATGTGAACAAAATGTATGTCTTAGCAATGATGCAATATGGTAAATGAGAGAGAAGGAAACAGGCTTTTCTGGCTCTGAATCTGTGGAAATGGAGATAATTAACACAAAATCTTTAAGAATAATCCTTGGAAAGCTAATACTCTGTCATGCTATCTATTTGTGGTCCATATATCCTAGGCCAGTTTAATTAATTAATTAATTAATTAATTAATGTTTAAATTCACATGACTTGCTCTTTTAAAAAAATATATATATATATTTCTTTATTGATTTCAGAGAGGAAGGGAGAGGGAGAGAGAGACAGAGAAACATCAATGATGAGAGAGTCATTGATCGGCTGCCTCCTGCATGTCCCCAACTGGGGATTGAGCCCGCAACCTGGGCATGTGCCCTGACTGGGAATCGAACCCCGATTGCCTGGATCCTAGGTCGATGCTCAACCGCTGAGCCACGTTGGCGGTGAGTTTAAATGCCAGGGGAACTTAATTCTGTCATCTGAGAATCTGTATCAGGATGGCCCTCTTTCTGGTCTTTCTTAATAAAACCGGAATTCACTAGCTGTTCCAAATTGCAAATTCAAACTCTAGGAAGAATTAAGAAAGAATGATGTCTTAAGTACTTAAACGTTTTTGTCATCTCTCTGTTGTCCCATCCTCCCTTGCTAGCCCCTTAGTGGGCACTTATGTCACCTGACTCTCCAAGGATAGTCACCAAGGCTGGGCCTTCCTGGCAGTGCTTTAGGTTCATTATTCTTTTACTATTTATTTTTATTTATTTTATTTTTTTGTTAATCCTCACCTGAGGAAATTTTTTCCATTGCTTTTTCAGAGAGAGTGAGTAGAAGGGAGAGAGGGAGAGAGAGAAACATTGATGTGAGAGAGATACATCTGCTGGTTGCCTCCCACATGTGCCCTGACCAGGGACGGGGCACAAACCCAAAACCGAGGTATGTGCCTTTGACCAGGAGTAGNTGGCGGCGAGTTTAAATGCCAGGGGAACTTAATTCTGTCATCTGAGAATCTGTATCAGGATGGCCCTCTTTCTGGTCTTTCTTAATAAAACCGGAATTCACTAGCTGTTCCAAATTGCAAATTCAAACTCTAGGAAGAATTAAGAAAGAATGATGTCTTAAGTACTTAAACGTTTTTGTCATCTCTCTGTTGTCCCATCCTCCCTTGCTAGCCCCTTAGTGGGCACTTATGTCACCTGACTCTCCAAGGATAGTCACCAAGGCTGGGCCTTCCTGGCAGTGCTTTAGGTTCATTATTCTTTTACTATTTATTTTTATTTATTTTATTTTTTTGTTAATCCTCACCTGAGGAAATTTTTTCCATTGCTTTTTCAGAGAGAGTGAGTAGAAGGGAGAGAGGGAGAGAGAGAAACATTGATGTGAGAGAGATACATCTGCTGGTTGCCTCCCACATGTGCCCTGACCAGGGACGGGGCACAAACCCAAAACCGAGGTATGTGCCTTTGACCAGGAGTAGAACCCGGTACCCTACATTGTATAAGCTGATGCTCTAGCCACTGAGCCACACCGGCCAGGCTACTATTTATTTTTAAACAGCTTTACTAAGGTATAATTTATATATAATGAATCACATCATTTAGAGAGTACAGTTTGAGTTATGATATGTATACACCCGTGAAAACATCACCACAATTAGCATAATGAACATGTCCCTCCGGGAAGTTCCTTCTGCCACTTGGTAGCCCTTCCCTCCCTCCCCCACTCCCTCCCCTACCTCTAAACCCACCTCAGTGGGGAACTCTGCATTCCTTGTGGTTGGGAGAAAAAAGAAAAGCTATTTGACTAAATTACACTGTTTTGTAACTAAGTCTTTCCTTCTCAGAATTATTTTCATTTTAAAAGAGTAGATATATGATATTATTTTCTTTGTAACCTTAAGACAGATTTAATTTTTAAAATATGCCATCCACCTCTTCAGAAAAAAAAAGTCCTCTTAGATACAGGAAAGGGTCCTGGTTTGTAAAACAAGGTTATACTTGGAAGCTTGTTTGAAATAGATAGGAACTTATTTTCTCACCTAAAGGAACAAAGAAATAGCTCTCTTAAATAGCTGAACATTTCACTAGACCAAGAGCATATTAAGCGCAGGCTCAGTTGGTCGGAGCCTCGTTTCCTACGCCAAAAAGGCCGAAAGGCCGTGGGTTCAGTTTCCAGTCAGGGCATATACTTAGGTTGCGGGCTCAGTCCCTGGTCAGGGCGTGTACAGGAGGCAACTGGTAGATGTTTCTCACATCGTCGTTTCTCTCTCTCTCCACCTTCCTCTCTCTCAAATCAATAAAGGAAGGATTAAAAAAAAAAGGAGTATATTAAGGTGAAATTCTTGGGCAACAGTGAAAATAAACATACAAAGTATAGTCTGATCCTTCTGATTTGTTGCCTTGGTTTTCTGGAAGTGTGTTCTTGACATCCTGACAGCTGGAGCCCGGCAGCCGTCAGGCTGGGTGAGGTTTGGTGCACCTCTCACCTCAAGCAGCCTCAGCAGACTCTTCAGTAATTGTAATTTTCTTTATCTGGAACAACATCAGGAAACACCAAAGACAGCCTCTGAGTCAAGATACTAACAAAAGGGGACTTTGTAATTACTGTATAAGGAAAGCATGTAACCCTCTCCTATTTGGAGCAACTTCGAAAGTCCTGGGTCACGCTAATGGCACCATTAGATACATTTTGCTGTGCTGCTATGGAAGTCATTTCTAAAACAGTGCTTTTTACCTGGTACAAATGAAGGTAGGATTTTTTCAAATTTTATGTGGCACAGTGCTAGATATTTGTAGTAGGTATTTAATAAATGTGTTAGAGATGAGGCAGTATTTGCAATGCCAAGTTGCAGAGAAAATACTATGCTATTTCTTTTTTTTTTTAATCTCTCCTTAACATGGGAGCTCACCTCTTTTTTTTAAAATATGTTTTTATTGATTTTAGATAGAGAGGAAGGGAGAGAGAGAAAGAGATAGAAACATCAATGAAAGAGAAACATTGATCAGCTGCCTCCTGTACGCCCTCTACTGGGGATTGAGCCTGCAACCCAGGCATGTGCCCTGACCGGTAATCGAACCAGCGACCTCTTGGTGTATAGGGGATGACACTCAATCTACTGAGCCACACCTGGTGGGCACTGTGTTATTTCTTTAAGTAAATACTAGTGAATTCAGAAAATGTATAATATGCTGTGAAATCAGGGAAAGATTGATTTTAGTTTATTTTTGATTTTTATTTTTTAAATTAAAATTTCAATTACAGTTGACATTTAATATTATATTAGTTTCAGGTGTATAGCATAGTTGTTAGACATTTATATAACTTACAAAGTGGCCCCCACAATAAATCTAGTACCCACCTGACACCATACATAGTTTCAGTCAATAATATTGTAATAGGGATAAACTGATTTAAACAAACACACACACACCTGTTTACTAACTTCAGAAAACTGGCAGTTTGTAAGTTGAGCGAATGATCTGAAAAATAAGCCTTTCCTCACAGGATATGTTGAACTTTTAAAAGCTCTATATTGTGGCTTGAGTGTTGTATATTTTTCTGGCATTAAGTTAAACAGAGACATTATTGCATGTAAATCTAATCTAATCCTTTGTGTATTATAGGAGGTAGCAAGAAAGCCAGAGAACGCCATACATCAAGAGGAAAACTGTTAGCCAGGGAAAGAGTTGATGGCCTTATGGACCCAGGGTTGGTATATACCCAAGTGCTTACTCAGTGTTCTCTGTTCCATGGGACTTTCTTAACTTTGTAAACAGATGATTTTAAATTCTGGTTCTTTTTGTAAGATTCAATACCAAATGCTTATGGAAAGGCTACTATGTGTTGCACACTGTTCTAGGTGCTAATGATACATCAATGGTCAAAATAGACAAAGATCCTTGCCCTCCTGGAGTTCACATTGCAGCAGGAGGAGACTGAAAATAAATGATAAGTGTCATAAATTTTATAGTGTGTTAGAAGGTGATAACTGTTATAGGAGGAAGAATAGGTAGACTAGAGTAAGGGAGAAGATGAAGGTCAAGTCGCAAGTTTAAATGAGGGTAGGGTAGGCCAGGCCTCATTGAGTAGGTGACATTTAAGTATGTGACTTATGTTTGAACAAAGTTATTCTGGCTGCTGTGTTGTGAGTGACTGGGCAGCAAGGGTGGGAGCACCGAGACAGTTAGAGGGCTGTTGCAGTGGTTCAGGAGAGACAGGGGTGACGCGGACTAGAGGGCCGGTAGTGGAGATGCTGAGAATGTCGGGCTCTGACAGAGCTCGCCCAACAGGGTTTCCTGGAGGGTTGGATTAGGTGGATGTGGGGTGGAGAGAAGGAAATAAAGACTCCAGAAGTATTTTTATGACAGGCACACACACACACAACTGGAGACAACACTGCTGATACCTAGCATATATCCATGTAGACCGTTTTCATTGGTATGTGTATTAGACACATGATTTTTTTCAGGAAAAATGGAATCATACTAAATGTGGGTCTTCTAACCCCCCTTTCCCGTTCACTTACTGTATCTTAAACATTTAAGAGCTAGAATAAAACAGTGGTTAAAAGCCCCCCACAAAAACCAGATTGGTTATTAAAACCTAGCTCTGCCACTTACTAGTGACTTAGACAAGTGACTTAATCTCTGTGTTTCAGATTCCTCATTAATCAATGGGATTATAAGAGGATCCACCTGAGAAGGTAGTTCTTAGGAGTAAATGAATGAGGTTTCTGAAAGTTCTAGGAAGAGAGCCTGGCACATAGTAAGTGCTACATAAGTTTTGGGTGCTGTGCTCTTTCTATATTAATAAACACATTCGTAAACATCTTTTAAAATAAGTACCTAGTGTTCTGTTGTATGACTATACCATATAAATCCCCAAAATTTTCACACTAGGTTTTGTTTTAGATACTCTTTTTGTAGATTTTTACATAAAATATGCATATTTGAAACATTGGCTCATTAAAGAAAAATGTCTTTTTCCCCCCACATGTAAGTCTTTAAATATGCTTTTTTTTTTTTTTTTTTTAATGACTTTAATTCAAGCAACATCCTTCCTTCCTCTCAGGTCTCCATTTCTGGAATTATCCCAGTTTGCAGGTTACCAATTATATGGTAATGAGGAGGTCTCCGCAGGTGGCATTATTACAGGCATTGGGAGAGTATCAGGGTGAGTACCCTACTTACACTCAACCTCAAGGGTCGGGAAGGTTGACAGGGCATGGGCATCCAGCTCTCACAGCTTTGCATATTAGCATGCAAGTTTTATGCTATTGATATTATTTAGGACAGACATGTATTAGATTCATTTGTGGAGCTTTAGAGACAAAAATTGAAGGGGAAAAAACCATAGCGTATAGAATAGAAGCCAGGAATGCCTGCGGCCAGTGGCAAATGGCTATAGCTGTACCTCCCCTGAAGGCACAGAGATCTGGCAAGAAGGTGGAGGAACACACACCAATAAACACCATCTGAATCAGATGTACTTGTATTGGGCTCAGAATCCAATTAACTGAGATCAAAGCTGAGCTTTGCCAGTGGCTTCATCTTGGGCAAGTTATTTACTCTCTAAACCTTGCTTGTGTGCTTTCCCAGGCTCTGCAGGTGATCTTTTCACATCGAGGATGAAAATCACTGTCTTAAGAGGATGTGGCTACTCGCTCTCCATGTGTAGTCCCCAGATAGCATCAGCATCCCCTAAGAACTTTGTTAGAAATGTAGATTATCAGGTCTTCCAAGAACTAAATCAAATTCTGGGGGTGAGGCCCTGCAATCAGTGTTCTCAAAGGCTAACATTTGAGAACCACTGTGGACTTAGGGAACCTAGATTGCTATGTTAGATGTATTTGTATATATTTATGTATTATCTCACATTTTCTGCGAAGTTGCCATGCCAGGCATTTAGTAAACACTTCCCACTGATTAGCTGTCTTAATCTGCACCATAGCTCTGTGAGAATGGGTATTATTATTGTCATAACTATTCTGCAGATAAGGACACTGGGGTTTAGAGAGTCAATAATTTGCCCAAGCCGCTGGCAAAGCTCAGCTTTGACCTCAGGCAGTTGGATTCTAAGCAGTTTCCTTAACCTGCTACCTGTATTCACCACCCTGGCCTTTGTGTGTTACTTGTGGGCTGAGGCACCTAACAAACTGGTTTTGGTGAGAAAGGGTACTGTTATGACCCATTATAGTACACATTGTTAATATGCTGTTTTAAAGATTGCATCTGTTGTTTCTTTAAGCAAGATGAATGTTATATTTTAAATTTTTTTTAGTTTTATAGAAAAGCATATGGCAGTAATGTTGAAGAACTTTTGAAAGCATGAAAAATAAGTAATCTTGATGGGTCAGTTTTTATTTTTGCAAATTACTTTCCTAAAAGGAAACTTGAAGGTTAATTATGAGACATTTTCTTGAGACTTGGATTTATTTTGGGGGGGGGTGCCATTATTACTACTCTTATCTTTTTAGGGCCCTTTAATTCAAATAACCATTATGAAATGTGGCTTAAGTTGTTAGGTTTCACTACTAATGGAAGACTGATGATGCTTGTTAAAAGTGATCATTTTCTAGTACGTAAATAAATATTCGACCTGTGATTAAAGCTTGCTTTTATATCCTAAGATTGTCTACTAATGCCTGTCATTGTTCATATGTACTAGAAGTTTAAGGTGGCATTGGAGTGTCTTGGAATATGATGTAATTGGACTTAAACTGTGAAGAAATCCCTCATATTCTCTTTCCAATGAAATTTCTGCCTTTCAGTGTAGAATGCATGATTTTTGCCAATGACGCCACTGTTAAAGGAGGTACCTACTACCCAGTGACTGTGAAAAAACATTTACGGGCACAAGAAATTGCACTGCAAAACAGGCTCCCCTGCATCTACTTGGGCAAGTCAAAAGAGTTCTAAAATGAACAATTTTTAGCTGGTAAAATAGATTACTATTTAGAAGGATATGTGTGTGTGTGTGTGTGTGTGTGTGTGTGTCTATGACACTATCAGTGAGTATTTTTAAAAACTATTGGTTTCTCTCTCTCATAATTACAAAAGAAATACATGTTCTTGGCTGGGAATTCTGGGAGAAAATATAAGTAAGAACTACCCATAATAACATCACTGAGAAATAACCCTTGACAGTATTTTGGTTTATGCCAATTTTTTCTCTACACGTGTGTGCTTTTTTCCTTCTATATATTTTGTTTTCCTGTTAACCATAATGGGTTCAAACTTTGAAAAAATAATAGCTAATATTTTTGGATCTCTTGAGTGTGAAGTATGATGTTAAAATGCTTATGTATATAATTTTTTAAAAAAAATTATTGATTTGAGCCCTGGCTGGTGTGGCTGAATTGGTTGGGTGTCATCCTATGCACCAAAAGGTTGCTGGTTCACTTCGTGATTAGGGTACATGCTCGGTCGGATTGCAGGCTTGATACCCGCTAAGGGGGTGTGCAGGAGGCAGCCCATTGAGGTTTCTCTCTCACATCAATATTTCTCTCTCTCTCCCCCACTCCTTTCCTCTCTCTCTAAAAAAATCAATAAACTATTTTTAAAAATGCATTGATTTTAGAGAAAGGAGGGGGGGAGAGAAACATTGATTTTTGTTGTTTTATTGTTGCACTTATTTATGCATTCATTGGCTGATTCTTGTACCCTGACTGGGGATTGAGCCCACAAAATTGGTATTTTGGAACAATGCTTCAACCAACTTAGCTACCTCATCAGGGCCGAGTATGTATATAATTTGAGCAGATAAAATTTAAAGAAATTTAATTTTAATTTTTTAAAATTTATTTTTCAATTACAGTTGACATACAGTATTATATATTAGTTTCACGTGTACAACATAGTGATCGACACTTAAATACTTTAAGAATTTTTTTTTTTTAATATATCTTTATTGATTTCAGAGAGAGGAAAGGAGAGGGGGAGAGAGAGAGACAGAAACATCAATAATGAGAGAGTCATTGATCGAGCCCGCAACCCGGGCATGTGCCCTGACCGGGAATCGAACCCTGATCGCTTGGATCCTAGGTCGACACTCAACCGCTGAGCCACGCCCGGCTGGGCTTTTGGTATTTCTTAATTTGGTCACCCAATGAAGTCTAGTAAGGACATTTAATTTTGAATGAAAGTACATTTATATTTAAAATTAAAATACATTTAAATCTACAGATATTTCAAAAAGAACATAAAAGCAAGACAGTATAAAATTGCTACTTTCTGGTTATTGGTTTAGTTTTATAAAATGCCAAGATATAGTGTTCATTTATGTGAGTATTTGAACAGGAACTGATAGATTTTTTTTTCCTGTGAAGGTGAATTTGCCTGGTTGACTACTTTGTACATATAGAACACAGCAAATGAGGTCCTGTTGCTTGCAGGTGCTGTGCCAAAAACTGTAGGGGGTGCAGTGAAGAGTACTATGTTGTCCTTGTCTTCAGCCTGCTTGTAATGATTGGAAACAAGATATAATGTACCAAATGACAATAAAAGCCTTATTTATGGTTGTAGGCAGGAATAATAGGTATGGGACTAACTCACTCTTTGTAGTATTACTCTGCACTCACAGTATGTGCTGAACTAAGTATGTCAGACACATTATTTCGTATCACCCCAATAAGAGTTCTGTGGGATAGCTACTGTTGTCATCCCACCTGTTCATTTTACAGGTGGGGGAACCAAGGCGTAGGGTGGCTGGGAAACATGCCTGTGATTGCAAAGCTAGGAGGTCACCAAGCTCGGTTTTGAACTCAGCTGATGTTCTTACCCACCACTCTCATCTGCAGTGAAAACAACACTAGGAGGCAGTATGTGATAAATTGTCACACAACTTCTGTAGGTGGTTTTTGTATTAGATAAAAAGAGGGAAAGACAGTTTTTTAGCTGAACTGGTTAAGCATTTACAGTGTTTCTGGGGCTTTAGCTGGTCCTCAAAGGAGAGATTACCCTACACATTTCAAGTGAATTTGGCATGGGGGTAGGAGAGCCTAATGGATTTGAGGAAAACTGAATCCTTTTGGCTGCGTTGGGGAATTGGAGAAAGATACTATAGAATAGTTTAGAAAGACATTTGTGAAAGTGATTAAGAAATGATGCTGTCATTGATACAAGTCTTCCTGTGTGTAGCATATGTTGTTCATAGAAATGTACTTATTTCTTTCACTTCCCTTGTCTTCAGTTGATTCAGGAGGGGCAAACTTACCTCGACAAGCAGAAATATTTCCTGATCAAAATCACTTTGGCCGCATATTCTATAATCAGGCAATCATGTCTTCTAAAAATATTGCACAGGTAATTTCTTGTTAATGAGATGTATTGCTTTTTGCTCTAGGTGACTTTGCTAACTAGGCACTCTGAGATGACTTAAAATAAGTGAGTTCAGAGATTCTTTTCCACAGAAAGTATCTTAAGGTTACCTTCAGTCAGATTCTCCTGTTAATTATGGGATATGCTTTTACTGTAATAAAGTTAATTCACCAAAAAAATAGTTTTTAAAAAGAATAGGCACTGAGTAATTGTTTTTTTTACAACTATACTCTGGAGAAACTCCAGTATATGTGTGAGGAGACATGTACAAGAAAGTTTGTTGTAGCATTGTTTGTTGCAGCAAAAGTTGAAGAGCACTCTTAATGATCATTAATGGGAAATTAGTAATACGATTTTTAGCTGTTTAAGTGAATGAATTAAAATTGCATGCATCAACATAAATGTCAAAATATATTTTGAATAAAAAATAGTAGAATAAATATACAGCCAATTGTTATGTATGTAAAACTTAAATACATCCAATAATACTATTATTTGTCTAAACATGTACATGTGAATGATACACTTTGCTTTAAAATAGTGGTCACCTTTGAAGTGGTAGAGAGGAGGGGGGGTCAGGTAGGAGGTATATAGAAGCTTCAGTTATGTCTGAAAAAATATTTTATTTAAAAAAAAAAAATCAATAAAATTTGGACGAATGTCAAGATTTATTAAGACTTGGTATTAGGTGAAAGGTATTTATTTTATTATTCTCTAATCTTTTTGCATGTTTGAAATGTTTCATAATACTGATGCTTCTCCTTTGTTTATGTTTTTTTTGATTTCTTAAGTTTGTAGTATTTTTGTTAATATTCGAATTAGTCTTCATTTGGAATTATATCTCCTCTTTTTTATTTTCTATCAATAAAGTATGTTATTATTTAGTATATGTTTTATTGTTATGTAGTAACCTTGCCTATCTGTATGCTTTATTTATATAAATAGAAAATTCAGCTTTACTCAGTTTTGCATAGATTGCTTTTCTATGATTTGGTATGAAATTCTTAATGTGATCTTTTGTTTTATAGGGGAAATTAGCCCATTTAATCTGGTATTATAATTTCTATAGCTGTACTAACATTGCATTAGTTTCGTAGGGCTGCTATAGCAAAGTACCACAAACTGGGTGGCTTAAAATAACAGAAATTTATTCTCAAGTTCTGGAGGCTGGAAGTCTGAAATCAAGGTGGCAGCAGGGCCATGCTCCCTCAGATGGCTCTAAGGAAAATTCTGTTCCTTGCCTCTTTGAGTTTCTGGTGGCTTTAGGCATTTCTTTGCCTTGTGTCTACATGACTCCAATCTCTGTGTAGGTCTTCCCCCCTTCCCCCCCCCTCCCCAAGCAAAGGTTTATTTAGAAAGTCACAGAGGTAGAAAAAGTGAGCCAGCTGGGCTGTGTTGGCTCAGGGAACGAGTGACAGAAACAAAGGAAGGGCCCTTGAAGCTTAGGAGAGAGAGGGAGCAAAGTAAGTGCCCTGAGGGAAGAAGAGGGGGAAAGGTGCTGTGTGCACCTTTCCTGAAGCGCCCTTAGGACTGTGGCGGAATTCCCTGCTGTCGCTGTGCTCATGGTGTGTCGGCGCCTCCTTAGGGAGGCTTTTCTACTAAGTTGGTAGCTGCCCCCAGCCTCGGATGGCGTGATGGCATTCAGTTTCATTCCCCTCTCTGTTCTTGGTGTTTTGTTCTGTTTGAATTCTTCCTTGGCAAACTCATCCCTCCGTCTTTGGTCTTTGTCCCTCGCCACACCGCCTGCGTGGGGCAGTGCTGCTGTGTTCTCCCCTCTGCCTGGTGGCTTTCATGGGGCCCGCTGGGCCGGGTTAGGTCTGTATGTCTTACTTGTGAAAAGTGTCCTCTTTTAGATTCTTACTTCGGTCTAACTCTTCTCTGCCTCCTTGACTTTTTTTAAAATACTGATGTAGTTTAAGTGGAATCTGGTGTTCCAGCACAGAGAGCAGGCTGACAGAGTGAAATCATGTCCCTTGCTCCTGATGGAACCTCAGAGAAAAAGCCCATAAAACATTTCAGACAAAGTACAGAGAATAGTAGAACAGCATGCTCACCCGCCCTTAACTCAGATTTATGAAGTGTTCGTATTTCACCATTATTGCCTCAGATTTTTAAAGAACTTATTTACTGATAATTCCTTTATTCAAAATATTTTCTTGGACATAGTGGTTATTTGCATATTTTCACTGTTATGTACACTGCCACAATGAATGTTTTTTGTGTGTGCTCACGGGCATGAGTTTTTCTAGCCATAGATATTTTGAAAACAGATTGCTGGGTTATTGATACTAATCTCTAAGAAAGAATATTTTTAAAGCATTTATTATGGGAAATTTTAAACACATACAAAAGTAGAGAATACTGCTGTGAACCCACCTGCAGGCATCACCCCGCTTCCACACAATTGAGCAAGATTTTTAACTGTGATGCTAACATTAGTTTTATGTTTAGAGTGTATCATATGCAGGGTAACACACAATATTAACAACGCTCATTATTTCCATTTTCCTGTGAGGTAAGTGGCAATTGTTTAGAGAACTTATTATTATTAGATTTAAAAGTTATCCTTTCATACAGTTTTGCTAATCTATAAGTGGGTTGTGGGTTTCTTCTCCTTTAGTTGTTTAGGCTAATGGTCTATCGGTCCATTCTTCTCTGATAGGGAGATTGTCCGTAAACGTTGTAAAAGTGTGACATAGGCCCTTCAGAATGCTTTGATACAAGGAAACTATTCCAAATGTTTAGAGGACTCTACTTTTAAAATGAACTACAGGGACCAGCTAGTAGTATGCCCTGGTACTGCAACTCTTACGGGACTATAGATCCAGAGACTGTATAATTCACTGCTTGGACTGTACCTGATGCATTTTGTATATGCTTGGATTCCAGATAGCGGTGGTCATGGGCTCCTGTACGGCGGGAGGTGCTTACATGCCTGCAATGGCTGATGAAAACATCATTGTACGCAAGCAGGGTACCATTTTCTTGGCAGGACCCCCCTTGGTAAGAATACAGTTTCAGTTGATTGATTGAAGTAAAATATACATAGTATAAAACTTTCCAGTTCTACCATTTTTAAGTATACATTCTGTGGCATTAAGTGTACTCATTTTGTTATGCAACCATCACACCATCATCTCCAGAACTTGCTCATCTTTTCCCTCCCAGGTATTTCTTCTTCCAGTGGCCCACCAGCCCATCTCCCAGTGCATCCATGATCCCTGAGGGAGGGCAGCCTCCATGCCAGGATGCGCCTGGTATCCTGACGGGGAGTGGGCAAGAGGCTAGCCCTTAGCTCATACCCCCACTGAGTCATCTGCTGGAAAACATAATTCAGCAGTGCCAGCCGGGATAGTGATGGTGCTGCTGTGCTCCACCCTGAGGCACCAGGGGGCACGCCTGACCCCTGATTCTGTGCCAGGCCAGGCCCTCCCTTGGGCAGATATAACGGTCATTCGGAAAGGGACAGGGAGGAGAAGATAGTACAGGGCCCAGCACCCAGGCTCCAGTTAGCAGGAAAGCAGGGAGCCAAGAACCCATCCCAGAGAGGTGGTGGGAGGCAGAGCAGCCAAGAGCTGAGGCTGTAAACCCCAACACATACACTCCCTTGTCCTCTCAGACTTTACTTACAGAACACAAATTCAAAGGTAAACTAGAATTTCAATAGGGTGACCACCGAGCGTTAAACTTCAAGCCCAGTGCCCTTCTGAGAGCGGGACCCTGTGCAGCCTCACTGGTCACTTGCCTGTGGTGCAGCACTGAGGACTGGATTATACATCCTGGCTCTTCCTCCCCTCTGCTTTGGTCAGCTCCGTTCCAGTGATTTTCAGTAATGCAGTCACCGCTCCACCGTGCCTACGTCACACATGATCCTAGGCTTCAGGGTGATAGAGGGCAGGAACAACAAAATGTCCTGTTATATAAGTGAAATCCAAGAATATTAAATAGGTAGAAGAAGAATGTCATAAAACCATAATCTATATACAGTGAGGTATTATGCCGCTGTAAAAAGGAATGAAGTTCTGACATGCCACAACATGAACCTTGGACACGTGATGCCAGACACAACAGGACAGATATTGTATAGTCCCACTTCTGTGAATATTTACAATGGTCAGAGACAGAGACAGACAGTAGATTAGTAGTTACCAGGGACCGGGAGGGTGGAATGGGGAGTGACTCCTAATGAGTACGGAGTTTCTTTTGGGAGTGATGAATGTCCTGGAGTTAGTTGGTGGTAATGCTTGCATAAGTTTGTAAATGATTTTAAAAATGAATTGTGTACTTTAAATGGTGAACTTTATGGTATGTGAATTGTATCTCAAAGAATAAGTTTATCTTCAAAATAGTCTGTCAAAGAATCATCTTTGGTTTTGGAATATTAACGCACATTTATTAAAAAGAGTGTGTTAAAACGAGCATATGCTTTGTTGTGAAATCAGTATATTTTCCAGATGGTTGTGTTAATTTTTCATAACTTAGTGAGGATCAGGTGAGCCTGAGGAGCTGCCATTTCATGCCTGTGATGTTTATTACTCTTTAACATGTCTCTAGCTTTATGTGATAGCGATCAGTGTTCAGTGAAGGAAAATCCCTCCAAATTTACCTTTGGATAGGAAGGGGCATATACTTTCATGAGTAGGCCTCGTTTGCTGTTCATTAGAGAATGGATAAAGATGTGACTAAATTTGAAAACATCTTTTGGGAAATAGGCAGCATCATACTACTAGAATAATGCTAACTATTTTTGAGAGAAGATTTTGTCTAAAGGTCAGCAGCACGTTCAGATTTTACTCGGCGGCCGGGGAAGTCTGCGGTCTGCCCCAGAACTGGCCCTCGTTCAGGAGGCCACCAGCGAGACGCTTGTTTATGGTAGAACAGGAGGCAGCAGCATCTTCATCTGCTGGAGAATTCTGAATTTCACACTTGTTTCACTGAAAATTAAGGAAAGGCTTGGTAGGTTTCACACATGTGGGGTTGAGTTGCTATAGTTTCCAGTAGCTTAAAATGGTTGAAAAAAGGCATAGTAATAGGACAGGTTTTTGGAAGAGCGTTTTGTACTCCTTTTCTTTTGTTTATCTGAACTTGTAATTTAGTAGAATGAGCTATTTTAATTTTCTCTTTGACTTTCATCATCTTTGCACCTATTACAGTACCAAACATGGCGTGGGTGCTCGATAAATATTAACCAGTGACAAATCCTTGCTTTTCCAGTCATCTCTGAAAATAAATATAGTATATTGGTTGTTTATAACTTTTTACAACTCTAAGAATCCAGACACCTCTTATAATTAGTTATTGTCTGAACCGAATGCTGTTTCACACTGAATTTCTTTGGGAGGACAACCAAAAATTTCGTTCTGGGGGTGGAACAGTTGGAGGTGAAGATTTTTAATTGCCTCTCCCAGTGGGATAATTTCTTATTTAAGACAGCTTTTGATGGAGTGAATAATAAGTTGTTTCTGGGCTGTATTTTAGATTAATGGTCATTATTTTAATTAAAGCTTTTCCTATTTGAAGAAAAAGAAATGATCAGATTGGCATTTAGCACTGAAGATTTTTCTTGTTTAGAATTTGTCAGGCTATAATTAAGTCATTCTTAATTTATTACTTGAGATTTCTTTCTTTTTGGTCATATTCTACTGAATCTGAGATGTGAGTAATCTTGGATATTTTTCCCATCTTAAAGTTATTATACCATTAAGAGTTCATAATAGTCACTGGAGTGTTTCAACATCAGTGAAGAAAGAGCATTACGTCAGCACATTTATTGAGTATTCAAAGATGGATAAATCATAATTTCTCCGTGAAGGAACTCACAGTGTAGAGGAGACAACAGAGACACATGCAAATTACTGAAATATAGTTTGGCAAGTGCCATGTTGGAGGTGTAAGTGTAATACTCTTGGACCACAGATAAGCAAGCATTGCTCTGTTATTACTGTGCAGTGTCATTAATGGTGAAAGGCCTGCATGGGTCAGGGAAAGCCACATAGAGCAGATGGGGCTTGAAGGGTAAGCAGGGATGCACCAGGAGGAGGGTGAAAGGGAGAAGGGAGCTCCCGCAGTGGGCTCAGACACGAAGGCTTTGACGTGCTGTGGAGGCAGTCTAAAGGAGGGGACCGAGCAGACTTTCAGGCCAGAAATGCCTGTGTTCAAATCCAGTTCCAGCACTTGCTTAGGGGCTGTGGGCAAGGTCTTTAGTGACTGTGGATTCAGATTTTTCATCTGTAGACTAGAGACAATATTATCTAGGTTTGCTAGACAAGTGGAATGAAAAAACAAAATGTTCTTTAGCTCCTTGGAAGAAAGAGTGGTAGGCATAGTCAGGAACTGTGTGTGTTAGGAAGATATTTGCATGTGTCAGATGGGTAAATCTCACCACTCACTTTTCTCCTTGTAGGTTAAAGCAGCTACTGGAGAAGAGGTGTCAGCTGAGGATCTTGGAGGTGCTGATCTTCACTGCAGGTGAAACAGAAGAGGTTGTTTCTTCTCAAGATTGATTGTCACTTGTTTGTTTTAAAAAGTTTAAAGTATTTTTCCAAGTGTTAAACTTGCCATGTTTATTTGTTCTTGATCTGCTGTTTTAGGGTTCAATTCTTTGAACTGTAGAGTTGCATTTCTAAGTTAGAACATCAGCTTTTCACTGTAGAAAGACTGGAGAGACAGATTTCGTATTTAACAAATATCCATTGAGCACCTGTTGGGTGACAGGCACTGTTCTAGGTGTTTGAGATAAGCTAGACATTGTCTCTGAACTCAGGGAGTTTGCAGTGTAGTCAGGGAGGTAGGCAATAAACAATGCTTACAAAAAATTCATGTAAATGTATATGTGTGATAAGGCCTACGAAGGAGAAGTATAGGGAGAGCATATAGAAGGTGGGTCAAACCCAGTGGTTAAATTAACCTTTGGGAAGTGGAGCCTGGGGTGGTGGATGGTGAGCTGCACTTCAACAACAGAAAATGAAATAGAGAAGTTATTACTCACGGATCCTGGAGGAAGTACATGGCATGCCTCCAGGGGCCACACAGGGAGGTCAAGGCAGAGTGCAGGCAGGGAGAGAGGAACCTGGGCACATATTTTTTTAATTTTTATTTTTAAAATATATCTCGATTGATTTCAGAGAGAGGAAAGGAGAGGGGGAGAGAGAGAGACAGAAACATCAATAATGAGAGAGTCATTGATCGAGCCCGCAACCCGGGCATGTGCCCTGACCAGAATCGAACCATGGTCGTCTGGATCCCAGGTCGATGCTCAACCGCTGAGCCACGCCTGGCTGGGCTGGGCACATATTTTTAATAAGGTCCTAGTTTGGAGTGCTTTGGGGTTCCTGGGCTAGGGTCAGATTGGCCAGTTCAATCCAAAAGAGCAGAATTTTGATAAGCCCAATGCGGGGGATTCTTATCTAAGGGTACATAAGGCATATAGGCGCTGGAAGGCAGGGGAGACTGCTGATCACCAGGGCTGCTGGGAGAGTCATATCAGGACTTACTTTTGCTGGGACTCTCAGCTGCTCTCTAGGGCTTGTGCCTGTGCTAGTGTCAGTTTAAGGTCCCTGCAGGCCTCTTGGCCAAGCCAAATGGATGCTGAGGCATAGCACCATGGAGTAGCTTAGCTAAACTCTTGGTAGCAAGTAAATATTTAAAAGCTGGTTCCCTGCGGGAAGGAAAAAGCCCTGCTTTGTGGCATCTGCCAACTTCTATAGTATAAATTATCCCATCACAGCCCATTTCAAACTACCAAGAGGACCCCACTGAGCGTGGAATCAGGAAGAGATGCGCACGGTTGGCGCTTGTGAGTCAGGCCACGAACTGGCTCCGTCGCATCACTGGTCCAACCACTTCAGGTTAGAGTTCAGGCCTCCTTTGTAGACCTTCTCAAACATACACATTTATATGAATTTTTTTTTTTTAAATATATCTTTATTGATTTCAGAGAGAGGAAAGGAGAGGGAGAGAGAGATAGAAACATCAATGATGAGAAAGTCATTGATCAGCTGCAGCCCGCAATCCGGGCATGTGCCCTGACCGGGAATCGAACCCTGATCTCCTGGATCCTAGATCGATGCTCAACTTCTGAGCCACGCCCGGCTGGGCTCTATTTTTGGTAATTATTTGTTTATTGCCCACCTCCCACCTTCTAGAATTTTATGAGGATTAATGAAGTGATACATGTAAATTACTTGAAATAATACCTGCTTTAAATAAGTACCTAAAAAATGTTAACTGCCATTGTTTATCACTATAATTGATCATTAAAGGTTTTGGATCTTTCATTTTTTTTAAAGAAAAGCATCTTTATTTTCTTTATTTCTTTATTTCTTTATTTATTCATTTTTTTAATCCTCACTCGAGGATATTTTTTCCATTGCTTTTCAGAGAGAGCAGGCGCGGGGGGAGATCGAGATCAATGTGAGAGAGACACATTAATTGGTTGCCTTCTGCATGTGCCCCAAGTGGGGCCAGAGATCAAACCTATAACCCAGTACGCGTCCTTGGCTGGGAATCGAACCCACGGCCCTTTGGTGCATGGGCTGACACTCTAACCTCTGAGCCACACTGGCCAGGGTTGAGCACTTATTTTGGAAAGATTGATTGTATTAAGTGTTGTGAGTAATACAGAGGAATTTTAGGTCTAATCCCTGCCCTCAGGATTTATAATTTAATGAGGCAGCTAAGAGAAAGAAATGAATGAATTAAAAAACAATTACAAAATATGCTAACATGCTTCTAATTTTACAACTAGAGGCCAAAGGAGAAATGATTAAGGGAATGACTGGAGTTGAGGAAGGCAGAGAAAAGCTTAGAGGGAGAGCTTGAGGCTCTGCCCGAGTTTGAACAGAACACTGGTTCATTTAGGTGATCATAGCTGTGTGAGCGGAGATGCAGCATGACTGTCTCCTATCTGGCCATTTACTGACCCTTGCAGGGCGACAGGGAGTGGATGTTTCAGCCTGCGGAGGGATAGGATGCAGGTAGAGTAGGGTACATGGGTATGGGACAGAGTGGGCTGCCATTGTTTGTAGGTGCTTAATCAGGGGAAGGTTGATGAAGATATATTTTAGGAATATTAATTAAAAACATTTTTTTTTTTACTATTTAAAAAATGTAATCCCGTGCCCATGAAAGCTGTAGGCAGTATATCAATTTAGGGTGTAGGTTCTAGAATTCATCTTTCATTTGCCCCATTTATTACTGTTATGACTAGACAAATGACTTAACCTCCCTGAACCTCATTTCCTACATCATAGCACAGCGTCTGGTGCATACTAAGCACCCTATTACTACTGGCTATTATTCTTAATAACTTGTTTAAAATCATGGGACAATAATTAGATGGTGATGGCTTTTTTGGGGAACAGTGTCATAAAATTTACTAGTCACAAATTGCTTCGGGTTCTCTCTCTAATCAAAGAGTGATAAATGTGTATTTGTAAACGTTCTCTCTGTCTTTATAAATACATATTTGTACCTCTCTTTAGTTATCCTGAAGAATTAATTTGACACAAAGACTTACATAACATAATGCCTCATCAAAGGTTTCCCTTTCCTGCTATTTTGGTAAATACTAAGCAGTTTTTAAAAGAAAGCATTTTATTTTAAATATTTACTGATTTGGAAGCAGTTCCTTCTGCTTCTGTTTGCTTTTTGAATTACTACAGTGTAGCCAGAAACCAGCAATTATAGCTGGAATTATTAATGAAGCATTTAAAAGGTATGGTCAGTTGTAAGTTACTGTATTAAATTAAAGAGGTGGAAGGGTGGGACATTGCCAAGGCATTGGAGGGCCATAATGAGGAGTAAATGCTGTCTCTGCTCTTTTCAGGGACACCCAGTCCAGAGGCAGAGAATGACACAGAACCACTGAGAGAGCCCAGCTCTAAGAAATGTCTCCCAGGGGTTTGGTTTTTCCCTAGACAAGGCATCAAAATTTACATTGCAGCAGCTTAGTCCTTACTCATAAAGTGAACCAAAATTCTATTTTTTTCAGGTGTATACTTTTGCCCTACTTTATCATTTTGTTTATACTTTATTTAGAAAGTCACAGTACATTTACATCTGAAATAACAAGCCATCTAATCAGAACAGATCTAATAGCCAGAGCAAGCCCCTATTTCATTGACACTGAACTTGAAATTGAACTTCTATGGCCCTTACCACAGAATCATTTTATCAATACCCATTTTTACCCATGACCCGAGGGACAGTGTCTTCAAACTTGAGTATTTGTTTCCCTATAATAGCATGCTCTTAGGTGTAACTTTGTAGGAAGGTAGCTCAGCAGTCTTTCAGAAGCAAGAGACCATAGTTGGCATCTTCATTAGGAGCTCACTTAGGTGCAAGCACTTTTTGTTGTTACCAGCAGCATGATGAAAGTATGCCATCTGTGGTTGGACTTTATCACAAAGAATTTTGTTTGAGGCACATGGGATGACCATTAAATAGAAGTCCTTATCAGCAAAACCCCGTGGTCTAGTTGAAGGAGGTCAAGACTGAGAAGTAGAAGGCATGGATTCTCATGCAGCTGCTGGTGGCTCTACCCAGGTTCTTAGGTGCACCTCAGCTTTTCCTGTTTGTAAAACAAGGACAATACCAGGGATGTGACAGTGTTTGCCAGGGACATTGTGAAGATCAAACTAAATGACATTTATTAAAGTGGTTTGGAAGTAAAAATGATTCCATTCTTAGATGAGAGAGATATTTAGGGTGTAAGATATTTAAGTATTTTCCTTTTCTCTAATATGATTATTTTAGTGTGTTTTACTCCGTAGAAAGTCTGGGGTCTCTGACTACTACGCTTTGGATGATCATCATGCCCTTCACTTAACTAGGAAGATTGTGAGGAATCTCAATTATCAGAAAAAATTGGATGTGAGTTGGATATGTTCTTATATCTTTTATTTTCCTAAAAAGCATTTTGGCTTATGTCATCTTGAAATAATATTTTCAAAATGGTTAATAGGATTTTTCTATTCTCTGCAGGTTACCATTGAGCCTTCTGAAGACCCTTTATTTCCTGCTGATGAATTGTACGGAATAGTTGGCACTAACCTTAAGAGGAACTTTGATGTCCGAGAGGTATGTAAAGGGGAGCTGTGAGCTGTCAGCCTTGCTGTCTCTCCATATGTGTGTATCCATCTTCAAAGCGGGAGCCTGTTTAGAATGTTCATGCCTAGGAACTGTTTTGGATCTCATTAAGGAGTTACAGACATGTAAGGGAAAGATCTTTCCATAGTGTAGGATTCATTGGTACAGAGTAAACACTAAAAGAGAGAGGGGGGCGGGAAATATCTTAATTATCGGAAAGTTTTCATTGCACAATGACGAAGCTTGGTTTGTTCATAAATAGTACTCCGTAATGTGGACATTAGGAATGATGTAGGGCAACGTCATCATTTTCAGCTATCTCTTTTCAGTGTTCTTGTTTCAGGAAATGGATGAAATGTCAGTAAGTTGTTGAAAGAAAAAATATACCCTTTTTTATCAATATTACATTAGCAAAGATTAGACTTTTGATTACAGGTCAAGATGTTGCTATGGTTACAGATTGTCAACATAGTCTTGTGTAGTCTAGAGTGACAATTTTTAGTGTTTGCATATAGCATGTAGTCTTTTTTTTGGTTCAGTATCCATATCTGGCAGAATACTTTCTAAGCTAGAAAATTATTTTAATACCAGATTCTCTCTCTTAATATTGTGTTACTTTTCCCCTTGACTGTAAAACTATTATTGTATTAATTGTGGAAAGTGTAGAAAATAAAGAAAAACATAAAATTGCTTGTAATTCTACTATCCAGAGAAAGCAGCAAATATTTTCGTCTTTTGGCTTAATGTGTGTGTTTTTTTTAATATATGTTTAGTGACTTCGGAGAGAGGAAGGGAAAGGGAGAGAGACAGAAACATCAATGATGAGAGAGTCATTGATCAACTGCCTCCTGCACGCCCCCGTCTGGGGATCGAGCCCACAACCCGGGCATGTGCCCTGACCGGGAATCAATCCTTGATCTCCTGGATCCTAGGTCGATGCTCAACCACTGAGCAACACTGGCCAAGCTGTTGATTGTATTTAAAAGGTACAGTTTTGGAGGCATATACCACTTAGAACAGATAACATATATTTCCATTATATAACAGGACCTTTCAGAAAAATAACTAAAAAATAATTCAAAGTAAGCTTTTACTTTTTTGAAAGAAAGATATTGGGAAACACTCATTTTTCAGCTTTTTCATCTTGCAAAAGTATGGTAAATAGGGAAAAGGAAGTTTGAACTAGGTAGAAAAGTGATGTGTATCATCTAAAATAGTTTATAAAGAAATTTGGAATATGCTTCATATTTGGAACTTTTTGAAATAATCCTGATGAGTGCCAAGCATGAACTATTTATTAATTTCTACTCCTCTTAGGTTAATTATGTGTGTGTGTGTGTGTATATATATATACATATATATGTATATATATATGGTGATCCTTCAAGTGTATCAGATTCAGAATCAGTGAACTTTTGTTGAAGGTGTGGAGGAGGAAGAAACTTTCCTCTACCTGGCAGGGTTCTTTCAACTGGTCTAATGATTAAATATACACAAAACAGATTAGATTAACAAGAGAAAACAGCGAAATTTAATTACATATATATGTATGGGACCCTCACATACATGAGAGAGTCAGAGACCTCACGTACATGAGAGGTTCAGGGACAGAAAGTTAAAATGAAGTGTATAGTGTATGACATTCTGAGCTAAGGGTGATGGAAGGTGCCTTGGGGCTTCAGAAGGGAGGAAAGTCATTTGCAGGACATTAAGAAGAGCAGATATTTAATAATTAGAATTTTACCCTACCTTATATATAGGTTATTGATAACTCTTAGTATGGGCAAATCCCCTAATTTCAATTCTTTAAGGGAGACTTAAAAGTTTCTGATGAGCCCATAGGATCTCGATTACCTTCAGCTCTAATCCACATGCCAAGATAGCACGTCTTGGTGGGGCCTCTTCTGAACCCCTTCAAAGGCTTAATAATAATAGCTATCTTTTAATGACAGCCAGGAAGTGTGCTGTGGTTATCACTTTTTAAGTGTTTCATCTTTTTAAAAACAGATGATGAAACTGAGGCTTAGAGGATTTTAGGTAACCAGACTGTGACTAATTTCTCAGTGGTAGAGCTGGGAGTCAGAGCTAGTTCTTCATCTCAGTGTTATTTTATTAGGTTACTTTACTACTAGGTCATCACATCTCACAATTTTGTCCCATCTTTGCAGAAGCGAGAACTGAGACTCAGAGGGGTTAAATGACTTACTCCTGGACACACAAATCATATGTGATACCTCAAGTTGGAGCCTGGGTCTTCTGACTCTAAGCTCTCTACCTTGCTTTCCGATTGAATCCCTGACCCTAGGCCAGTACATTTGAACAGCCTCTGAAGCTTTGATTGAGTCTGGCAACCAGCTCATGGAGTCTCTGCTTGTCTGGTATGCAATGCGGTGCTATTGTTTTTATAGTAAAGTGTAAAATCAGAGCCCAGAATGACTTCATGCAGGTAAAGTGAAATTCTAGTGAGAAGATTTTCTATGTAGGGTGCAATTTTGTGAAAGTGACTTCACTATGAATTTGTTTTCCGTATAAAATAACTTTAATGCAACAATTCTTTTATAATACAATTTCTCAGGGACATTGTTATTTTTCCTCTTAGGTCATTGCTAGAATCGTGGATGGAAGCAGATTCAGTGAGTTCAAAGCCTTGTATGGAGACACATTAGTTACAGGTATAAAGATGAAGAATTGAATATGAACATTTTCCGATGCTTCAAAAATAAGTGATGTCTTGTCTCAAGGCTTTGATGCACTTGGCAAGAGCTTTGTTATTTAGAGTGTTACAAATGTGTGAGTCAGTATTTAAAGGGAGCTACTTGCCCTGGCCGGTTTGGCTCAGTGGTTAGATCGTCAGCCTGAGGATTGAAGTGTCCCAGGTTTGATTCCAGCCAAGGGCATGTACCTCGGTTGCAGGCTCGATCCCAGTCGGTGCGCAAGCAGGAGGCGACCAATCGATGTGTCTCTCTCACATTGATGTTTCTCTCTCTCTCTCTTTCTTCCCCGTTCTCTTTTTCTCTCTCTCCCCCTTCCACTCTCTCTGAAAAGCAATGGAAAAAATATCCTCGGTGAGGATTAAAAAGAAAATAAATAAAATAAAACAAAGGGAGTTGCTTTATAATGATCATTTGTGGCTGAATGGCTTCAAGGAACCAGAGTTTTAAATGATGTCTAGATGCTGTGGGATAGGCCCTTGTCTGTGACTTAATGGCATTAGCCATAAAATCAGCAGAAATATTTGTAGTTCATTTTGTTTCTCTGGATAACTAATTATTTTGAAATTTTCAGCACTCTTTTTTTTTTAAAAAAAATAAAAATGTTTTTATCGATTTTTTAAAAGAGAGAGGAAGGGAGAGAGAGAGAGAGAGAAACATCGATTGGCTGTCTCCTGCACACCCCCCCACTGGGGGTTGAGCCCACAACCCAGGCATATGCCCCGACCAGGAATTGAACCGGCGACCTCTTGCTACATGCGATATCACTCAACCAACTGAGCCACATTGGCCAGACTCAGCACAGTTTTTTTTTATTTGGTTTCTAATTCAACTGGGAAATTTTGTATGATGTTTAAACTTTCCAGAAGAATGTAGACTGAGTTAAACCTTCTCACAGCCTCTGTGTAGATATTATGTTGATTTATGTAAATACTAGATCCAGAATACAGGACAGAATACCAAATCTGAAAAAACAAAACAAGGATATTTGTAAAAGTTAATTCATTCACCCGAAGTGTTTAGTTTGTAGGCCTTTGGAGAAAAGTATTTGAAACATAGATGCTAGACCTGTAATAATCTATCTTAGACAAATGGCAAAACAAATGTGGGCATTTTGTTTGGTCTTATAAAAGCTCAAAAATGTAGCAGTTAGTCTGAAGACAACATTTCAGAGTAGAAAAAACAACCAGCTGCAAAAATCCAAGTTGCAAATACACATTGAGGCTTAAGGATAAGTCGGCACACTTTCTCCTGGTCTGATTTATGAGCAAGAGAAGGGTTCACACTGGGAGTGGACTTTATGTTTTTGTATTTAGGTGTTTAAGTGATTAGGAGCTTTTCTTTGATATATAGACAGGATTTGTCACTTAATAGTTCAGGATGTTACCCTCATTGTGTGGTAGTGTAAAACAAGTCCAAACTGCTTCTTTCTCAAGATGGATGGGCTGTCGTCATCTGTTTTTGTGTATTTGCCCTGTACTTGCTAAAAGACTGGTGGCACCTTTGCCCCCTGCAATGCTGTGGCTAGATCCAGTTTCCTCCATCTCTTCTTGACTACTGGAATTCAAATAAAGTTGGGGGGAGGGAAGAGAAGGGGAGTGAGGAGGAGAAGAAACGAATGAGAGGCTGTGGGGGAGCATGAGAGCTCGAGGAAGGGTAAGGGAGCATGGGGGGTGGTTACCTAGGGGGAGGGAGCGAGGAAGAAGAACAGATATTTTCTAAGGATCAGGTAGGAGTTCCTGGCAGCAGCTAAGGGTTTCCTCCTGCCACTGCGCTTGCCATATGTCGGCCCTAGTAGTTCCTTGGATATTTTGCTTTCCTGTTTGGCCCATAGGAAGCTGCTGAAGGCACTCCCTTCAGGGGTGTCCCTATTATAGTGGGGCATGTGCCCCACTCAGCAGGCCCTGTGCCTGGAGATCCCAGGCGGGGCTAAGGATGGGTTAAAAGCCTAAATAGTGAAGAGGGCAGTATATCTTCGGGGGTAGCACCTTATTGCTGAGAGATGAGCGAGGTTCCCAGCTCTTTTTGTGGGCGAGGCAGGACTCAAAGTGGATTGCTAGGCCTGTTGGGAAGTCACCCCTTTTTGCTTTGACTCTCTAAGTGGCAGTGCCATGGAGGGTGTGCAGCATTCAGGCTGGGATTTTAGGCCTGAAAGACCAAGAGAAATCCAGGTGACCATCAGATCAGTGTTTCATTTTTATCACATTAAATAAACATAATTAAAAATAAATAAATCAAGACAAGGTCACAGTAAAGAACAAAAATGAATTTTTAAAAATTAACTGTTCTGCTTATCAATAGTTGACAGCCTCTCTTACCCCTTAATTTTTTGAGCACCTGCTTTGTGTCGGGCATCACACAGCGGGTGTCTTAACGGCAGCCTGTCGGGCTTGCGCCTGAAGACAGTCAGCCGGGGACTTTGGTAGCGTGCTGTCTTTGGCCCACTTCAGCCAGCACAGCTTGTTCGCTCCTGGGTTCCAAGTAGTTGACATCTGTATGTAGTCGTAAGTAGGCTTGCTGGGGATTACTCTCGGGAAGGTCTCTAGTCAGTTTCTTCAGGTTCACAAAGTAATTAACCTCCTGAAGTCATCTAAAGAGTCTACTTCACAATATAATGTTTTCCCCTTCTTTTTCTTCTCCTTTATTTCGTGTGTGTGGAGAGTGGGTGTCTGGAATGTTAGTAGAAGTGGTGGTGAGATGTAAACGAAACTTATGGAAAGGAGAAAGAAAAAGATGCAGACTGAGAAAGTGAAAATGGAGTGATTCATTTTTCTCCTATGCTTACCTGAATTTCTTACTTTAAACTTGGTTACCACCAGGTTTGACAGTGTTTCTGTTTTTTTTTTTTTTTTAAATTGCCTTTGCTGAGTGTATCCCCTTTATTTCAAGGGTCTATCATTACCACAGGCATTTTCAGGCAAGCTGTCACCTGACACTGGCCCACAGCTTTGAACGTTGACCTGTAAAGGGCTCCCCGTCTTTGCTTTGGTCTACTTCAGAATGTCCCTCAGGTCTGGTGCACAGTGAGCACTCACATGGATGCTACGGCCCAACCAGGCCAACCAGTCAAAGGGGACAACTTTACATGTGACTCACCCCTTTCAGGAAAGCAAAAGACCCAGACTCCAGTGCCTTAGAAATAAAATGTGACATGAGCTGTTTTCTACCATAGATAAAAATCTCTACATTTTAAAGTGTGATTTGAAATGAAAGGATGTTAAATATGTCTGTTTTTTTGTGTGTGAATTAAAAGCCCTCTGAATTACATAAATCTTTATTTCCATTTTCTTTTGAGGATTTGCTAGAATATTTGGATATCCAATTGGCATCATTGGAAATAATGGAGTTCTCTTTTCTGAATCTGCAAAAAAGGCAAGTACTGTTAAACATGTTTCAAGATTTTCTTCTTTAAACATAGTGAACTTTCAAGACAAGTAATGCATGAAAAGTGATTGCATAAAAGCTTTAAAAGATTTAACCGGATGCCTTGGCAAAAAGAATACTGCGTGTATGCATGTGAGCATGTATGTGTGTGTGTGGGTTAGTGTTTGAAAGTTTTTGTGGAGGTCTACAGTAGCATGATAAACTGTCTTGAGCACTACTAAAAGTTAAACAAAAATGTTTTGTTCTTATAAGAACTTGAATTATGACATGCATATATTCTAAGAAGGTAGGATCCTTGTCTTGAGTGTTTCACTCTAGTGCTTAGCACAGTGCAGGACTCAGAGATACTTTCCAGGTGGGTCTCAGTGTGATGTTTACCTTCTTCTAGCCCCTCATCAATTTAACTTGACACTCTTCACTCTTTGGAAAAGGGAAGGTAGTGGGTCTCATTACTGAAATGCTGGTTTTAAAAGAGGAAGTTCGTGAATGTCTTTTGGCTTAGTGTTCAACTTCATGTCGTTGCCTCAGACTTACCTAAACTTGAATAAATGTCATTAATGTACTTACTTGATAAAATGTTAGGGAAAAAAATTTCTAGCCTTGTTTTTTTACTTCAAATTATAGAGTAAATAGCAAGGTTGATGGTCTCATATTGATGCAGGTAACAGGCAGCTAGGCTCTTCCAGACTTTAATTGAGGAAGAATTTGTTTTTGGTGGAATGTTTTATCAGTAAAGTCAGTTTCTATATTCTGCTGTTATTATTGTTCTCCCCACTGCAATTATAAGACAAAAACAAGAAAGTAAAAGCAAGGGAAAAAAAATCACCTACACATACTAGAAATAACCTTGAGTAACATATTATTATGATTCCTTAGTTTTTTCTATCCCCCATTTTTTAGCAAGAGAAAATAACCAAATTTAACACATACCTAAGTGTGGGAACCTCACATACTTGAGAGTCAGAGACCCCCCACACAGGAGAGGTTCAGAGATAGAAAGGGGGATTGAGGTATATAAGACACTCTGAGCTAGGGATTCAGTAATGCACCTGGGGGCCTTCAAAGGGTCATTGCAGGACAAGAAGAACAGATGTTTAGTAAGTAGAAATTTTCTCTGCCATATAGCTGGGTCAAAAGAGATTATCACTGGTAATCTCTTATTATGGGCAAGGCTCAGTTCCAGTCATAGGTAGTTAAATAGAGGGGCAGTGGTTCAGTTGGTTGAGTGTCATCCTATGCACCAAAAGGTCACTGGTTCCATTCCTGGTCAGGGTCAGGGCACATACCCAGGTTGTGGGTTCCATCCCCAGTGGGGTGCATATGGGAGGCAACTGAGAGGCAATCGATTGATGTTTCTCTCTCACATTGATGTTTCTCTCTTTCTCTCTCCCTCTCTGTCCTCTTTCTAAAAATCAATAAAAACATATTTTAAAATAAAAATAAATAAAGTGAGGGGCAGGAGCTTCTCTTGAGCCTGAAGCTAAAACTGCCCTTAGCTCCAAACAATCCACATACCTCTATCACCCTTTTAAAAATAAAGTTGGTATTGCCACATGCAGTAGGCCCTTGAAAAATCTAATTTCACTGTAACATTAATGAGATATTGTAGGAAGCTAACTCTTATCTACATCAGTTAGCCTATGGTAAAATTGGTTTTGTTATGTTATTTCACTCAAAGTTGAAGAACCTATGACGACATTAAGTGAGGATTTACTGTATATAGAGGTATGGCTTCTTTTCATTTAATAGTATATATAGTGTTTCCTAAAATATCAAATATTCCTGAACTGATGACTTTTAATGAATATATAATGCGTTAATTTCAATGGAGGAAATGTCAGACTGAGACCAGCAAACTCTACCTCGTTTTATTAGTGGCTTGGCGCAGATAAGCTGGGAGGAGCTACGTTCAGCCTCAGCCCGACACATGGCTTTTGGAAGTGAGCCCCAAGCCTGTGGTTTTCTCATCCTTTTACTGAGGCCGAGCAATTGCTCTGAGGATTTGTACTCACCCCGGCATCTCCAGCAGAGTTAAGGGGATCTGCGAATAGAGAGTAAAATGTAAAGGAAGTGGTTTATAGGAGTGACCTTACATAATTTTTAGAAGATAGGGAAAGGAATAGTTATATTTTTGTGTCATTAAACAGTTTCCTAAACTCAAGGTTAGAATGCCTCTAACACTCATCTAAAATCCCATTTATTTGGGGTATGTTGGAAAGAGAGATGTATTTTACTATAATCTTTGTTCATGAAAGAATTGCAGATGATCATCAAAATGTAAATACCATCATAGATTTTCTCGAAGGGTTTATATTCTATCTTTTTTAAATGAAGCTCAGCAATTCTCATTGACAATCTATCCTTTTTTCTCTGTGACTTAAGTTTCACTTGCTCTTCAAAATATTAGTGATTAACTTTGTTCCTGACACAGCAGTTGCCCCATAGCCGTGTGCCCATGATCACACAGGAGACTGCAAAGCAAGTGCAGCAACACCACAGCCACGTGACCCAGTGCGAGTGGGTCCGCACTGTAGTAGTGTGGTTACTGTCACTATAAAGTCAGACAAGCCAGGCGAGGGTGTTCTTTCTTTTCTCTGGCCCACATGTATAGTTGTGGATGCATGGTGATCGCAAATCTTTGAAAAGGTTTTCATCTTATTTGCTTATAGGGGGCTCACTTCATCCAGTTATGCTGCCAAAGGAAAATCCCTCTGCTGTTTCTGCAAAACATTACTGGTAAGAAAATAGAGTGTTCAGTCTGGTTGCTTTATTCTAGAGCTGCACTGTCCAGCATCTCGTAAGTGATCACCACAGTAAGTGTAGTAGCCTTCTTCACTGTGCATCGTTACTGTGATGTTATTACTGTGTTCCCTGTGCTGTACATTACTTCCCTGCGGCTTGAGTTTTGACTGCAAAGAATGGTATGATCAATGTGAACTCTCTGGATTTCATGTTCCATAGATGATCTTAACATGGTGGATGAAATGATTTTTATGGTTCTAGAGTTCTTTTTCCTGGAATTCCATGATTCTCCCATTTATACTTTTTTGTATGTTGCATGGTGTCTGACATATAGGAGACATTCAGATGTGTAGGTTAGCTGAAAACGTCTTTTTTCCCCAGTCTTCTATGTCATCCATGGTTATCTCAGGTTTGAAGGAAGGAGAGGCTCTTAATCAGTTGCTGGGATCCGGCAAACCTTCATGAGAAGGAGTTTGGCTCTTGACAGTCAGGAGGGTTTTAAATATTACTACTGCTAAAACATCTTCATCTTAACTTTAAGATACTTGGCTAGATGAGGTTGGAGAGGAGTTACATCCGGATGGAAGCCTGGGGACCCTGTGTGGCAATCCTCGAAAATGGGGCAGATAGGAAGTATTCTGAGGCTTCACCCATGCAGGGCCTTGTTTCTGTAGGGATTCATGACTCATAAACCACCAGTAAGTTAAACTGTGTGCTCGGAAGATTCCTGCAATTTTGCTTTGTTGTGTTTTTTTTGGGTGGCTTGGGGGCAGCGAGCAGAGGTTGAGTTTAGTTTTGTAACATTGCGTTTGAGGGACCTGTGTGACATCCATTTGGAAACATATAGTAAGCAGTTGAAAAATCTTGAGCACAGAAGAGATGTGTTAGCTGGAGGTGAAAGTGTAGGTATCGTTAGACTATGGAGATGGTATTTAAAGCTATGGGAATAGATAAGAACACTCTGAAGCAAGAAGAGGGCTCAGGGACAATCTGTGAGTAGCTCTGATTTCTTCCACAGAGATGAAAGTTAAGGAAGAAATGGAGTATGATTATGTTGTTTTTTAGGATGGGAAGGAGAAGGATTGGAGACAGCCATGTGAGATGGCGTCAGTCTTTTTTTTGAAGGCAGAATGTTCTACAGGAACTAGAGGGGCAGTGGGGTGGTTGTTGGGGGGCGGTGAGAGCTTGAAGAGGGTCCATATTTGAGGTAGATATTGTGGGAACATTATAGGGAGTCAAGATAAGGTAGCTAAAGGAGCTCTGAGGTATTCCTAGGGCCTGGCAAGCTCAGGGGTAGCTGGAGGAAGCAGATGGTACCTGGTGAGACAGGGGCTGTCCTGTCGCTACCTTTGTATCCGTAGCGGGTACAGGTGCTCTGCAACACTGGTTGAACAGACTTGGCTGATCCGATGCTGGAGATTTGCAAAGCAAGAACAGTGACAGTCAGGTAGGCTGTGAGTCTGCAAGTGGGGAGGGGGACGGAAAGCTGACTTGGTGTTTGTTCGGTGAAGAGGAAGGAGCCCAAAGCCTGGAAGGCCCAGTGCAGCTGCAGACCAGCTTCCTTGGAGATGGGAGCTGGAAGAAGTAGAAGGATCCCATAATTATAATGACAGATTCTTCTACCTTGCTGTTGAGTCTCTGACAGGGACGCTTAGCGTCTCTATGAAACATTAATGTTTATTTCATCGAAGTTTAAGCAGCCCTTCAGAAGGAACACTCTGTTTTTAAACCAGGTCGGTGGGTGCCGAAGCCCTCGCAGCTCAGCTGCCCCAGCACTTTCTCCTTAGCTTCCCTTGTCACCTTTCATCCCAGGCTACTGTTTGAGGTAATTTCTTGAAGATAAATTGCATCCTTACCTTGTTTGAAGATCTCTATGTGTATCCAGATGAACCGTTTTAAGGAAATTTAAAAAGTGATTAGAGAAAATTTTATTTTATCTTTTTGTTGTTGTTAATCCTCATCTGAGGATATTTTTTTCATTGATTTTTTTTTCAGAGAATGGAAGAGGGGAGGAGGGGAGGGGGAGAAAGACACACTAATTTCAATTGGGTGCCTCCCGCATGCGCCTGCGGGGCTGGGGACTGAACCTGCAACCCAGGCACTTGCCCTTGACCGGAAATTGAACCCGTGACCCTTTGGTGTGCGGGTTGACGCTCTAACCACTGAGCAACACCAGCCAGGGCTGTTTTATCTCTGAAAGCAAACCTTTTGGGGGGCACATTTCACATGTAAGTATTTTGTTAGGGTGAGAGGCCTGTAGGAAAATGTAATTTGATAAGATAGCTTTCTAATACCTTGGTGGGATTGATTTCTGAACATTAATCCCATCACTCAGAGGCTCTCTTTCTGTTTTTTCTCTCAGGATTTATGGTTGGTAAAGACTATGAAGCTGAAGGAATTGCCAGGGACGGTGCCAAGATGGTAACTGCTGTATCCTGTGCCAATGTGCCTAAGATAACTGTCATCATTGGGGGATCCTACGGGGCTGGAAACTACGGGATGTGTGGCAGAGCATATAGGTAGGTGGCTGTCATGATTTTTGTATATACATGAAAGATTTATACTTCATGTATAATTATAAATTGTCAGGTTTATTTGAAATATAGAATGGCATTCACAAATCTTGAACAATTAATACCGTAATTTGTATAATTGGGGTGGTGGTGAAATGAAATTTAATGCTAAAGGTACTATTGGGAAGAAATCCACAAGGGGGATCAGGAAATATCTTGAAATGACTGATAATGAAAATAGTACATGTCATAACTAGTGTTATGTGGTGAAAGTCTTGCTTTGAGAAAGGTGTATAGATGTAAATACATATCATGGAAAAACAGTAAGGCTGAAAAAGTCAATGAGCTAAGTAGCTGGCTCAGGAAGTTCAAAAAACAACAGCATTTTGAACACAAGAAAAATAGACAACAGGATGTAGTAAAGAACAAACATAAGACAGAAGAAATCAGGAAAGACCAAAGTTGCTTTCTTTGAAAGGTTAACAAACTTGATAATCCCCTGGTAAAACTAAAAGATAAAGGGAGATTATACAAGTAACCAATATCTAGACTAGAAAACAGGACATGACCACAGATAATAAGAGGATATTTTGAATACTTTTATACCCAATAAATTTTCATGAAATGTAAAAATACAGTGTATGAAAACAGACATCAGAATCACCTAGAGAACATAACATTTCTAACCATTCTTAGGCCCCACCTTTGGAGATGAGGGTGGGTTCCAGGTATTGGTATCTTTTTAAATTCCCAGATGAATTTAATGTGCAGCTAGAGTGAAGAACCATTAGTTTAAAAGGTGAACTTGGGCCTCTGATCATTTGTGTTGTCCAGCGAGGTAATTTGACCATTCTTCCCCTCATAGCCCAAGATTCCTTTACTTGTGGCCAAATGCTCGTGTCTCAGTGATGGGAGGAGAGCAGGCAGCCACTGTGTTGGCGACGATAGCAAAGGACCAGAGAATGCGGGAAGGGAAACAGGTAAGTGCCTTTTCTTCTCGTCTCCAGGTTTGGCTTTCACCAGGGAACACCCTGCAGCCAGGAGTAGTGCAGCCAGAATCCCTCCATGGTCAGGGGTCAGGGGTTCGGGGTCCTGCCTGCAGGGCCTGGCTTTTTAGAAGATGCCCACCTCAGAGTTGTTTCAGGAATTTAGACTTAGGCATTCTCTCTTTTTAGCACCATTTGAGGTACCTTTTTGTGGTAATGTACAGATTTTTTCAGAATCCCAAGACAACACTTCCAGAAACTTCCTGTGAGTGCCTGAAACATAAAGATGTTGATTCTCAGTCATTCACAGTTAGTGAGCTTTGAATAAATCTGGTTTACGTCTTTGATTTTATGACCCAAAGCAGCAGAATTTTCTTTTTTTCTATTTTACTTTTAGGTTGTTGTTAAGGATGCCTTGAGTGGGAGGGTTCAGTCATATAATGAGAATTGATTAACATTATTATACTGTGAAAGTAGAAATGAAGCAAAATGGAAAGGGTGCTGGAAGCTTGATGGAAGGTAGATCAGCAAGTGGCTGCTTTTAAAATGAATGCCTTTGTGTGTCTGTTAGAGAATCTTCTGAACTTTTGCATTAATTTTTATTAGTTATAGCTTTTAAATGTTTTATGTAAGCACCCAGCCTTAAAAATGATTGCATGTTCTTGAAATTGGTAGGTGCACTGTTTTCATAAGAAGGCATAATATGAAGGAGGCCCTGCCTTCAGGCTCTCAGTCCTGCCATTTAGCAAGCATCTACCTGGTCAACTGCCCAGTTCATGGAGTGGGGTAATAAAAAGCCAGAGGGTGGTTCCTGCCTCCCTGAATACATCCCACCCAGCCTCACATCCTCAGCTGTGTTTTCCTAACAGCAGGAACTTTGAAGACCAAAACTGAGGTTTCAGATTCACTGTAGTGTTAACCAGTGTCCAAGCAAAAGGAAAGCTTTACATGCGTGTGTGTGTGTAGAGGGGCAGTGGAGCGGGAGTATGAAATTCTACCTGATATTTTGAAGACATGTCTTGAACTCTAGCCCAACATGGTGATCTCTTATTAAATAGTTATTCTTTGATTAATTGGATATACGGATGTATGAATTCATCTGTTTTTATATATGGAAGTACAGGATTTCAGTGGTTCTTCCTTTGAATTCTTTACCTATAGATGATACTAAACTATGAAAATAGTAACAGAAGGTTGGACTTATTTGAAATAAGTCATTTGTTTTTGGTGTGGAATATTTTTTAAGTTGAAAATACTTTTCAGGATTTCAAAATTAATTTGCATAAAGATTTTTACATCTGAATTAATTATCACTTGTTTCTGGCAATACTGATGGGGCAAGCCATTACATTTAATTAGGGAAATAACCTCTCAGCTGTCTGGGAAATTGAAGAGATTATTCAAGGTGCAGTTGATATTTTTTCTCTTTAAGCTTTAAAATATTAAAAATTTTTTTTTGGCTGTTTTGAAAGAAAACCCCCTGCTTCTCCACTTTCTTAAACAGAAGCTGCTAAATGTCATGTAGCCCTTTTATAGAATTCACTTGCATTGTTGTACTGGGCTGGGATGCGGGATGCCCTGGTTTTGACCGTACATCACACAGCCCAGGCTGTCGTCTGCGCTGAGGGAGATGTAGTGGTGCACGGATTCGATGGTCACGTCTCAGGTGAGATTGTGTATGTGAAAGCATCACTTGTAATCTCTACCTCGCTGTGCAGATGTTGGTTGTAGCATTAGTCATGACATCTCTGCCCCTTTTTTCTTGAGGTTCTCTCGGGTGGATCTGTTGTCCCACTGCAGTGGACTCATTCCTGGCCCCTTTTCTTTCAGTTCTCCAGCGCTGAGGAAGCAGCTTTAAAAGAGCCCATCATTAAGAGATTCGAAGAGGAAGGAAACCCTTACTATTCCAGTGCAAGGTGGGAACCCGAGGATAACTCACTCCTTGCTGGGTGCATGTTGGCAATCAGGGCAGCGGCTACACAGAGACCTGGCAGTCAGGGTGGCCCAGCCTCCGTGAGAACCAAAAAGTAATGTTTGAACACAGCTTTGTACTGTTGTCCCTATAATGGGAACGCCTGCCGCTCCTCCCAGGCTGGGCTGCGGATCCATCACCGTGGGGCTGATTCTGCCACCCTTCACCCTCCTCCTTTACCCCATTTCTGTGTGGGGTGTCTGAGGCCTTGGAGGGGCACTGCGGCCACAGGTGGGCCTCACAGGGGCAAGGAAGTTAGGAGTCGTGATCCTGGCTATGTAACTTTCAGGAATTAGTTCTGTTTCAATTTTTGCTTAAACCGGTGGATTCCTGTCATCCCCTCCCTTTCTCCCTTTGTTTGTTTCCTTTTGACCCCACTTTAAGCGTGGGTTGGTTGGACGCTCTTTGGCACTGTTAACAGATGTGCTCGTGCATTCAGGAGGTGCTTAGTCACAGCCAGGGTCCATATGTCCACACCACATAATTTCCTCGTACACACATGCAGCTCTTGGCTCTGTTTGTTTCCGATACCCTCAATAAGGTAATAAATTACCACGGCCTGCCCCGCTGGAGACTTGAGGGCATGCGCTCCAAGGCCTCTTTTTTCGAACAACTTCAGTGTTTTGCTTTCTGAAGAATAAGCTTCGTGGGTTCATTTCATCCCTTGGGCAGATGGGGAAAAAGAAAATGACAACTTGCGTCTTTTAAAATTAGGCTATGCTTTGATTTATGCCATTTACTGGGGAGGAGGGAGAGAAGAAAATAAAAAGTTAGAATCCATTTCAATCATGTGAACACATCTTCTGTGGGTGGCACTGCCTCCAACGCTGGGCACACAAAGACTGGACATGCTGCCCGGCCAGGCGTGGCTCAGCGGTTGAGCATTGACCTAGGATCCAGGTGATCGGGGTTAGATTCCCGGTCAGGGCACATGCCCGGGTTGCGGGCTCAAGGCAGCTGATCAATGACTGTCTCATCATTGATGTTTCTCTCTCTCCCTCTCCTTCCCTCTCTCTGAAATCAATAAAGATATATTAAAAATAATAATAATAATAACTTGAGCCAAACTGGAACAACCAACCTATTAAAAAAAAAAAGACAAAAAAAAAAAGACTGGACATGCTTATTGTCCAGAGCATCATTAGTATCAGAATTCTAATAATGCCATTTGGGATGTTTAAAAAAGCCTTTTTCTCTTTTTGTTAACATCTACTTTAATAAGTAATTTTATAGGTATATTTTGTTGGGGTAGGTCATTGATTCATTGAATTAAGAACAAAGCATTTTATAGTCTTTGATTTCAGAAATAAACATCTTTTTATACTACCAGTAGAAGAAAAGAGGAAATATAAAACCATATAAAATGTTTAAGAGAAAAATATATATTGTAAGCACACTTACTTTTTTTTTAATATAAGATTTTGACTGAAATTCACAAGGACAGTTGAAACTTCAAACTTCAAAAAATAGCATATTTTGTGTGAGCCATGAATTTGTTTTTCAGCCCTGGCTAAACCCATCTTTTGAGAAAGACTCAATCCTTTATTATTTTCATACTTATATTATTATTTTAATGGATTATATTCAAGGCAAGACAGCAGACAGCCAAGTAGAGTTATCTTTGGAAATAAATATTGAGAGAAGTGAGGTTTTTCTCTTACTTTGTAGATGCTTAACCCTTCAACGAGTGTTGAAACACTTGTTGGCTTGGAGGCAGCAACTTTGAAAGATGGAAGGGTTCTCAGGCCAGGATATGGCACCTTCTTTGGGTTTAATAAATCTCCTCTTAACAGTAAAATTCTGGGGTCTGTTTAGGCTTTCACACGGCTCGATCTGTCTTTTCCAAGAGAGCTGTCATCATTTGCCACTCTAACCTCCTATGTTTTTCTTAATCCTTACATACTGATGTTGGCAGCATGTCAGTTTTATTCTGCCCCCCTGTTTTTATAATCAAACTTTGTAGGTATTTGGTTAAGGCCTCTTAGCAGTCTTTTTAATGGCCATGATGAAGCAGCCTGCTCCCTCCCCCGGCATCATCATGTTTGTTGTATTACTCAGCTGTTGGCTTCAGAAAGGAGTGTAATCAGTTGACCTGGTTACAAATTACATGAGTGGCCTTTTCTTATTGGCAGCTCATACTGCAGGGTCCCTATTATGAATGTTTTATGAGCAGAGATTTGATTCATGGTCTGTCGATGTAAGTGTGGTTTAATAATTGATGCTATGTCCAAGTACTGAAGGCAGTTTGTTTAAAGAAAACAAAAGTGCCACCTACCAATGCCCTTTAAAAAAGCAATATTTCTCATCCATTTTTCTTTATAAATGTGAGGTTGTCAATGAAAAGCAAACTAAAATTTCTACTTAAAAGTTCTTCTGAAAGCAGTTTAAAGCTGTTGTGTTTTCCTGTTGTATTTCCTATTGTATTTCAAAAAATAAAGAACTACATAGGAAGATATTATTTTATTAATAAAATGTATTGAAGTCATTCAATAATTTTCATAGTTTCTTAAGAGATGAGAGAGTTTTCAGGGATACATCTTTTCTAGTAGAGACTTTGGTTTGAGACTGTTACCTGGGTTTATATGGCTCTTCATATTAATAACAGGAATACATCTACTTGATTTGTATGTTGCAGAAGGACAGGAAAAGTTTTTCGTGAAATAAGTAAAAATATTTTTAAACGGGATTATTTTGTGATTTCTTGTAGCAAGCTGTTCCTAAGGCCATAGCTTGATTTGACATTCTGTGGTAGCCTGAATGTCATTTCATTTACTTTTCCCCCTTTCTCCCCTCTCTCGAACATGGTTTCAGTTGTGAGATTACAGTGCACAGAAGCTAATCAGTAGATCTACACATTACCTGAACATGAACCTCAGTGTTTCTTGGCAGGGTATGTATAAATGGTAGTTTGGTGGTGGGTTCCTAATAACTCATATTCTGTTCTTTTATCAGGCTGTGGGATGATGGGATTATTGATCCAGTGGACACCAGGCTGGTCCTGGGTCTCAGTATCAGTGCAGCCCTCAATGCGCCAATCCAGAAGACCGACTTTGGCATCTTTAGGATATAACTGGAATATAAAGCATCTTTCATTGGACATGTACTAGAAATTAATACGTTAGTAGCCTTAACATTATAGACTTTTTCAAATTTCAACTGTTAAACAGTAAAATTTTCTTAGCACAGTGCATTGTACTTTTCTCCCTTAAAAAATCAATGAAGATATTTATTTCATGAACCTCAATTCCTTGTAAATTTTCTTAGATTTTTCTGTGGCTCAGCTTTTCCACCCTTAAAATGAAGAGAGTAACTTACAGTTATCCTTACTAACCCACATGTAGTATGAAAAGTTCTGTAACCTATAAATTCCAGATATTATCAAGAGTATTAAAGTTGGATTTCCAGTGAAATGATGCTTTGGTGATTATGCACGGTATTATAACACATATATTTTTTAAAAGCATCTGTTTTCCTCCAGCCATCATCCTGTTTCTGCCCATAATAGACTTCTTGCTGTGTGCACTCGGGGCTTTATTTCCTACCCATTCTCTCCTTACCTACCCCTCACTGGCTTCCATTGCCAGCAGCCCTCTGCAGGGTCACTGTTGACCTCCGGGTCTCTGGAACCAGTGGGTTCTTTTCTGACTTCATCCGATTTAATTGTCTGCAGCATTCAGGTCAGTTGAACGCTCCCTCCTAGAAACACATTCCTTAGCTCCCATTCCGTGATACTTTAGGTTTCCCACCAGCCTCTTTGGCCACTCTGTTCTGTTCAGTTTCCTTTGCAGGCCTCTCTTCCTCTGCTGATCCCTGCCCTCTTCGCCATTTATCCTGATTTTTCATTAGTAATACATGAATACGGTCTTTTTCTAAAAGATACAAATAATATAAAATATCTCCTCATTCTTTTTTAAAATTGTGGTAAAGATACATAACATTTTACCATTTTAACCATTTTTAAATGTACAGCTCTATGACATTAAGTCCATTCAAACTGTTGTGCAATTGTCACCACCATCCACCTCCAGAATGTCTCATCATCCCAAACTGACACTCTGTCGTTAAACACTAACTCCACACCACCTCCCCCCCACCCCGGGCACACCTCCTTATTCTTAAATGTATGTACTTTTGTGGCTTGATTTAATCTTTCTGGCCATTTCAGCCCTATGGCTTCAGTTGCCATCTAAATGAGGATGATTCCTGTGTTGACAGTTCCTAACACATCTCTTCCATGATCTTCAGACCTGCCAGATAGACTGGATATCTGCACTGATTGTCTTACAAGAACTGTAAGACTCAGTCAACAAGTTCTGTTGATTTTACCTCTATCACTTGAATTCCCCCAGTTATTTTTGTCTTTCACTACCACAGGCATTAGGAGTGGTCTTGCTGCATACAGTCTCACCTGGTCTAATCGCCATCACTGTGGAATTAGGATGGCCATTCTAAATGCACATCTGGTTGTGCCACTCCCTTACTCAGATCTTTCACTGATTTTCTGTAGAACTGCCAGACCACTAATGCCCTCCATGGTCATCCCTTCTTCAGTCTCATCTAGACTCCTCTTTTCACCCTTGGTGCTTCAGCCACCCTGACTTCTAGTCCCTTGAACCTACGAAGTCTTTCCCACTTTAGGGTCTACAAATTTCCCTCTGCCTGAACTGTTCCACTGTCTCTTCTTAAACACATCTTTTTGTCCCTGACTTCCTGGGGCTGAGTTAGTTACCTACAGTGTGCCCTTGTAAAGCACCATCACTCCCTCGGTCACTTCTTCTATAAGGAGTATAAACAGTTTTCTAATATTGCCCTCCTGCTAGAATGTGAGCTCTATGAGAGCAAGGATTTACTTGTTTAGACTGTATCTCCAATGCTTGGCACTTGCAGGTGCTCAGATATTTGTTGAATCAATGAAAAAAATCCATATATCCATATTTTAATTGATATTCTCAGGTCACATCATTTTAAAATTGATTGATTATATGATCTAATATAATTATCAAATGCTTTCCTAATAAAATTTGTATTTTAAACATTTGTGTGTGGTGTTCAATTTAGGCTGCATTTGTGCATTAGTTTTTTGAGTTGTGTGCAGATAGGTGATCTCAATTTCGAGGTAAGTTGCATTTTTAGAAGGATGTTGGAGGTAATCAAGAACACGTGGAATGTTTTCAGTTGGCAGGGCTGAGTTCCTTCTGGAGGTTTTAAAGGGAAACCTTTTCAGCTTCTAGAGGCCTCCTGCCTGCTTTGAAACTTAATAGAGATTTCAGTATATCAACCATATTATGTGTTAGCATTGTAGAGAGCCATTTAATTGACTTGAGGAGTTTACCATAGTGCGAGGGCGATTTTATTTTCTGTAGCTCTCCTGTTCTGTGTAGTCTTGGTGAGCATCAGGCAAAGGCCCTGGTCCCCAGCAAAGAGCTGGATACCTCCTGGAGCCTTGGCCAGGTTGACTCTAGGATTTGACTTGAACAGAGGGACGAAGATGGAAGGCGCCTGGCCCCGAGTTGTTTCAGGGGACTGTTAAGGCTGTTTATTCATCTTGCTCTAGGCCCCTCAACACTCTGGTTATCTAGGCTCTGTGAGCCCGAGGTACTCTGCCATCCTGTATTTTTCCAGCGATCTTTTAAAAGAAGTTGCCAGAGTCAGGCTCTTGTGCTCGTAGCAACAAACACTGGAGCAAGTCCTGCAGGTTGGAGGTTTAAATAAGTCTGTATTTTCAAACTTGATAAAAACTTTTCTGCCTGCATTTTTAAAAAGACTTTTTAGAAATGAAACCACTGGAACATTGAAATTAAGTCAAAAAGATAATGGAGACGGAAGAGTAAACTGAGGGTACTGGCCCTCAGATACATGAGCATTCAAAGGAGGGATGTGATTTCCCACCACCATCAATAGTGACGATGGACTGAGTGTTTATGCAACCTTTTGATCACTGAAATGTGTCACTGAGCAAGATTTTAGGTTACTCCTAATTGGAAATCTGGCTAAAAAATCTGACAATCTTTCAGTAGGGATAATTTAAACACAGCCATACCGAGAAAGTACAAGTAAGTGACTTCTTAGGTAGCCTTAAGGGACCTTTTGGGTAGCCTTAAGACCACAGTGCTAATCTTTTATGAATGGTAAACAGATTGTTGGTAATCTCTTTTGAAATGTTAATACTTTGCTGTTTTTGCATGAATGTTTACAAGTATCTGTGAGGCTCCTGTTTTTATTTTGGAGCTATTGGTATTTTTAATTTTGTCTTGATTTTAATGTGACCTGTCTTCTAATCTCTTTCCACCTTGAGCGATATAGGAAAGGTAACTATGTTATTGTCAGAATTAGCTAATTAATACTAATAAAGGAAGAGAGCATTGTAAGCATGGTCACCTGGGAAGCTTCACCTGGCAGCTACAGCTTCACACAGCATTGTTCCTCCAAGGGGATTAACACCCTTCCCTCCCCCATCCAGTACTGGATTGTTGGGGGAGATGGGCACATGTGCAGTGAAGTCAGGGTGACTAGGGAAGGTGCTTGCCTGTCCATCTAGCCTGGGGAACAATGGATTGGCTAGGGGGTGGACCTATCAGAAGTGTGAAATCTTGGAAAGCTAATTGGTTAGTTTGAAGAAGCTTTTGGTTAAAATCCCCAGAGTTTCCTCTCTCTCGCTCTCTTGTTTGCACTCGCTCACCGGTACTTGCCCATGCGTTCTGTTCTCTCTCCGTAGCCATGTGATCTTAAGCAGCCGCATGGCCCATGGCCGTGTGGACCCCACATGCAATGGACTGAAGCTGGGAACACAAGCTAAGCTAGTGAAATGCTGGACTGGACTGGACTCTAATATGGAGCAGAATTTCTGGGCAGTGGCCTTAATCCTGGCCCTGATGAAGACAGGACTGGACTTTTTCCATGGTGGGACAGATGGAGATGGGACCTTGGAAGGAACCCCCTTAATTTTACATCATCAATAATGCTTTCCACAAAACCCATCCTTCCAGGGGGGCCTCAGGAACTTCTTTTCCTTGTGGCACCCTAAGAGCTCCACTTCCACCAACAATGGAGGGCTAAGTACCTAGAACTGAACACTGTAAGTAAGGGAGCAGGGGAGACTTTGAAGGGTGGCATGACAGATCTGTTCCAGGATGGGTTAAACCTGAGTAAGAGAACTGGAATTCTTGCTGCAGAGGGAGCTCAACTTGAAATCAAGGGACTTGGCTCTTGTCTAGGTGGTGGTACTAACTAGCTGTCTGATCTTGGTCTAGCCTTTCCTTGTCTCAGTACAGGAGTGGGACTAGAGGAGTGGTTTTCTCCTCTGGTTTCATATGAGAATCAACTGAGGAGTTTTTTAAAAAAAATGCTGGAATCAGAATCTTTGGGGGGAGTGGTGGGATATTTTTTAAAACACCCTATGACTGCTTTAGAACAAAGGTTCTCAGAATTCAGCTGGCATCAGAATCACCTGGAGGGATTCTTAAAACACAGATTGTGCCCGACCGGTGTAGCTCAGCAGTTGAGCATCCAGGAGGTTATGGTCTGATTCCCGGTCAGGGCACATGCCCGGGTTGCAGGCTCGATCCCCTGTAGAGGGCGTGCAGGATGCAGCCGATCAATGACTCTCTCATCATTGATGTTTCTATCTCTCTCTCCCTCTCCCTTCCTCTCTCTGAAATCAATAAAAGATATATTTAAATAAATAAATAAAACACAGGTTCCTGGGCTTCGTCTATAGGTCTGAGTGGGCCCCAGAATCTACATTTCTAACACATGTCCAGCTGATGCTGCTGGTCTGGGGATCACTTTGAGAACCACAGACTGCTCTAGATGACTTTTGTTGTTGTTGTTGTTTGTTTTGTTAATCCCTCACCCAAGGATATTTTCCCCCATTGATTTTTAGAGTGGAAGGGAGGGGTGGGAGGGGAGAGAGAGAGAAAAACATCCATGTGAGAGAGGCACATCAATTGGGTGCCTGTTGTGAGTGCCTTGACTAGGCTGGAGATGGAACCTGCAGCCCAGGTATGTGCCCCTGACCAGAAATCGAACCCATGACCCTTTGATACAAGGGCTGACTCTCTAACCACTGAGCCACGCCAACTGGGGCTCTAGATTATCTTGAAGATCCTTCCTAGTTCTAAAATTTTAGGATTGCAAGAGCAATTTCTGCTCTGGTGATATCACTCTTGTATATTTTTGATTAGGTCATTGAACATTTCTCTTTCTGCATTTTCAGGGTAGGGTGAATTTGTCTTAACTTCTTGGTCAGTGGGTCACAGCCCTGCTGAACACTAGATTCAGTAACTTTGCTTATGAAATGCCCTGGTGCCCAGGCTGGACTCCAGATAACTAAACCAGACTGTCTCAGGTGAAGATGCAGGTGTCAGTCATTGTTCAAGTTCCCTCGAGTGATTCCAGTGTGCGCCAAAGTGAGTCACTTCACAGGGTAAGGCTGGTCAGGAGATTTCAAAATGGAGCAACTACTTATTTCAAGATGTTTGCATGAATTTAAAAGCTTAAACTTAAATTGTATATACATTTTTTAAGCTAACAGCCTAGGTAAAAGTTTGCCTTGATATCTGTATGTACTTCATTTCAGGCTAACTACTGAAAAGTGGTTACCAATAGCTGAAAGTTTCTAATGAGATGTTTCCATGGTGATAAAAAGAAATAAGATCAGACCAGAAACAAACAAGCAATCACAGGAGAAGTATTTTACATAATGAGCCATAACGACAGGCGACATTTCGCCTCCACAGAATTGCTTTCTGAGACATATCTTTATGCCCTGGTGCCTCTGTTGTAACTTCTCAGTGGATTTAAGTCTCTGAGGACTCCTGTCAGTAATTCATTGCTAACCAACCATCACTAGATAAAGAAGACTATTCATCAACAAGGGTGGTTGAAATTACATTGAAAACTTTTGTTGTACAAACTATATGTAACAAAATTTACCATTTTAACCATTTTTAAGTGTGCGGTTCAGTGGCATTAGGTAGGCTCAAAATGCTGTGCCACCATCAACCACTGTCCATCTCCAGAACTTTTTCATCTCCTCAACTGAAACTCTGTATTGATTAAACAATAACTCTCCACTCTTCTCTTCCCTCAGCCCCTGTTAACCAATATTCCACTTTCTGTCTCTGAGAATTTGCCTGTTCTAAGTATCTTATATAAGTGGAATCGTACAATATTTGTCTTTTTTTGTGTCTGGCTTATTTTACTTAGCGTGATGTCTTCAAGGTTCGCCCAGAGATTCTTTTGATCAAATATATCCATGTCACAATTGAATTAGGTTTATGAAGGTGTCAGTCTTATTCCAGTTAAACACCCAGGCAATGGAGCGCTGGTTCCCTGAGCCTTAGGCACTTCCGTGGGATGGGCTGAGGCGGGGAGCAGTTAGTCGTGCTTTCAGCAGCAGCTCCTCGCCGTCACTCAGTCCAGAAACAGGGGTGTCATTGTGACCCTTTCCTCTTCCTTACCCTCACATTCAATTGCTCAGCAAATCTTATCGATTCTACCTCTCAAGTACCTCCACAAATCCTCCTTTTTTATCCCTGAACTGGCCTCAATCAGACCTTGCCATCTATTCTCGCTTGGATAGTATCAGAGACTCCAAACCAGTGTCTCTGGTTATCACTGCCATGAGCCTTTATTTCATAAAGTCATCCAACAAATGTTACATTTGCACAAACACTTCTTGTAAGGTGCTAAGCTGGCCTCTTAAGTTACAGTCTTCTGCATAGACCTTTGGGCCATTTGTCTCAAATAAACCTGATTTTACCCTGAATCCATTGATTCTAGAGCCCAGCTTTCCCCAGTCCACTCACTGCCTTCCAGCAGAGGGTGGAAAAACTTTCGGTAGGTGAAATCAAGGGTTCAAAGCAACAAGAGGAAATTTAAGAGTAGTAAGTACAGAGACCTACATCTCAATTCAGGCAAATAAAGACTTATGTATGGAACCAGAGGAACCTGGTTTTGCAGCTGTTCACTTGGGGAAAAATGACCCTGGAATTTTGGTTATCAGCAAGTTTGATACAGGTTAACAGTGTGATG